GCACTCGCCGGTACCTTTCTGTGAGCTTATGTGGCCTACCACTTCGTGGCTGAGCCGTTGTTGCTCCTTGACCTTTCCACTTCACAATAACAGCACTTACAGTTGACCGGGGCAGCTCTAGCATGGCAGAAATTTGACGAACTTACTTTTTGGAAAGGTGGCATCCTATGACAGTGCCACATTGAAAATCACTGAGATCTTCAGAATGGCCATTCCACTGCCAATGTTTGTCTATGGAGACATGCTCGATTTTATACACTTGCCAGCAACGGGTGTGGCTGAAATAGACGAATCCACTAATTTGAAGGGGTGCCCGCATACTTTTGTATATATAGTGTGTATGCGGAAGATACTTTTATGTATGCTATTGCCCAAACTGTTTTCTGGCTGTGTCAAAACTAGTCAGATTTTATAGCCAAGCAGGAATCCCTTACTGATTTAAAACTTGTGCTTAATACTAGCAAAACGAAACACGTTGTTTTTAAACTCTCGTAAGAATGTTTCAGATGAATTACATTTTCACTCATTAGAAGGTACTCCAATCGAACGTGTTCCCGCATATAAATACTTTGGCATTTGGATTTATATGGATTTGACGTTTAAAAAAACATATAGATTAGCTGGTTAAGAAAATAAGATTTAAATGTGGCTTTTTCTACGGAAACAGATTGTGCCTTTCTCTAAGCAGTAAGAAGCAGATTATTCAGTCAACCTTTTTGTCTGTTCTTGATTACGGTGATATTTATCAAAGTGCAGTTGCTCTTAAACCTTTGGATGCCATATACCATAGTGTCTTTCGTTTTCTTACAAGTGACAGTATTGATACTCATCACTGTATCCTGTATGAAAAGGTTGGCTGGACGTAGCTAAAGAACCATAGATCTCTACATTACTCCCTTTTTGTTTACAAGGCCCTACTTCATAAACTTCTGTCTTATTATACTTTGCTGTTGAAGTTTAGACACCTGTTGCCTAACCCCTTCAAATGATTGGTTAACTCTTGAGGTTCCTAGGGTCTCCACTGAGTTAGGTAAATCTGCTTTTAGTTTTAATGCAACGTATTGCTGGTACAAAATTCAAAATAAATGTAATCTTGATGTTCTGGTGCCGTTCGGTCAATTTAAAGTATTAATTGGGGATTAATTTGTGGTGGAATGTAACTGTTTTTCTGGGTGATTTGTGATGTTTTATGTATGTTTACCACGACTGTGTTTTTGTATTTTAATGTGTGTGCATGAGCACATATATACACACAGTACCAGTCAAAGGTTTGGACACACCTACTCATTCAAGGGTTTGTCTTTATCTTTACTATTTTCTACATTAAAGAAGAATAGTGAAGACATCAAAACTATGAAATGACACACATGGAATCATGTAGTAACCAAAAAAGTGGTACACAAATCAAAATATATTTTTGATTCTTCAAAGTAGCCACACTTTGCCTTGATGACAGCTTTGAACACTCTTCGCATTCTCTCAACTAGCTTCATGAGGTAGTCACCTGGAATGCATTTCAATTAACAGGTGTGACTTGTTAAAAGTTAATTTGTGGAATTCTTTCCATCTTAATGTGTTTGAGCCAATCAGTTGTGTTGTGACAAGGTAGGGTTGGTATACAGAAGATTGCCCTATTTGGTAAAAAGCCAAGTCGATATTATGGCAAGAACAGCTCAAATAAGCAAAGAGAGACGACAGTCCATCATTACTTTAAGACATGAAGGTCAGTCAATACGGAAAATGTCAAGACATTTGAACGTTTCTTCAAGTGCAGCTGTAAAAACCATCAAGAGCTATGATGAAACTGGCTCTCATGAGGACCGCCACAGGAAAGGAAGACCCAGAGTTAACTCTGCTGCAGAGGATAAGTTCATTAGAGTTACCAGCCTCAGAAATCGGCAATTAACTGCACCTCAGATTGCAGCCCAAAAGAATACTTCAGAGTTCAAGTAACACACACATCTCACCATCAACTGTTCAGAGGAGACTGTGTGAATTAGGCCTTCATGGTCGAATTGCTGCAAAGAAACCACTACTAAAGGACACCAATAAGAAAGAGAGACTTGCTTGGGCCAAGAAACACGAGCAATGGACATTAGACAGCTGGAAATCTGTCCTTTGGTCTGGAGTCGAAATTTGAGATTTTTGGTTCCAACCGCCGTGTGAGACGCAGAGTAGGTGAACGGATGATCTCTGCATGTGTGGTTCACACCGTGAAGCATGGAGGAGTTGTGATGGTGCTTTGCTGGTGACACTGTCTGTGATTTATTTAGAATTCAAGGCACACCTAACCAGCATGGCTACCACAGCATTCTTCAGCGATACGCCAACCCATCTGGTTTGCGCTTAGTGGGACTATCATTTGTTTTTCAACAGGACAATGACCCAAAACACACCTCCAGGCTGTGTAAGGGCTATTTGACCAAGAAGGAGAGTGATGGAGTGCTGCATCAGATGACCTGGCCTCCACAATCACCCGACCTCAACCCAATTGAGATGGTTTGGGATGAGTTGGAACGCAGAGTGAAGGAAAAGCAGGCAACAAGTGCTCAGCATATGTGGGAACTCCTTGAAGACTGTTGGAAAAGCATTCCTCATGAAGCTGGTTGAGAGAATGCCAAGTGTGCAAAGCTGTCATCAAGGCAAAGGGTGGCTACTTTGAAGAATCTAAAATATAACATATTTTGATTTGTTTAACACTTTTTTGGTTACTACATGATTCCATGTGTTATTACAACATTTTGATGTCTTCACTATTATTCTACAATGTAGAAAATAGTAAAAATAAAGAAAACCCCTGAAATTAGTAGGTGTGTCAAAACTTTTGACCTTGGACACACCTACTCCCGAAACATAGGTGTGCCAAGCTTGTAGTGTCATACCCAAGAAGACTTGAAGCTGTAATCGCTGCCAAAGGTGCTGCAACAAAGTACTGAGTAAAGGGTCTGAATACTTATGTAAAGAAGTTATTCCTGTTTTTTATTTTTAATAAATTTGCTTAAATGCCTAAAAACCTGTTTTCACTAAGTCATTATGGGGTATTGTGTGTAGATTGCTGAGAATTTTTATTTATTTAATCTATTTTAGTATAATGTGGAAAAAGTAAAGGGGTCTGAATACTTTCCGACTGCACTGCTCAAAAAAATTAAGGGAACACTAAAACAACACATCCTAGATCTGAATGAATGAAATAATCTTATTAAATACTTTTTTCTTTACATAGTTGAATGTGCTGACAACAAAATCACAAAAATTATCAATGGAAATCAAATTCATCAACCCATGGAGGTCTGGATTTGGAGTCACCCTCAAAATTAAAGTGGAAAACCACACTACAGGCTGATCCAACTTTTATGTAGGGTCCTTAAAACAAGTCAAAATGAGGCTCAGTAGTGTGTGTGGCCTCCACGTGCCTGTATGACCTCCCTACAACGCCTGGGCATGCTCCTGATGAGGTGGCGGATGGTCTCCTGAGGGATCTCCTCCCAGACCTGGACTAAAGCATCTGCCAACTCCTGGACAGTTTGTGGTGCAACGTGGCGTTGGTGGATGGAGTGAGACATGATGTCCCAGATGTGCTCAATTGGATTCAGGTCTGGGGAACGGGCGGGCCAGTCCATAGCATCAATGCCTTCCTCTTGCAGGAACTGCTGACACACTCCAGCCACATGAGGTCTAGCATTGTCTTGCATTAGGAGGAACCCAGGGCCAACCGCATCAGCATATGGTCTCACAAGGGGTCTGAGGATCTCATCTCGGTACCTAATGGCAGTCAGGCTACCTCTGGCGAGCACATGGAGGGCTGTGCGGCCCCCCAAAGAAATGCCACCCCACATCATGACTGACCCACCGCCAAACCAGTCATGCTGGAGGATGCTGCAGGCAGCAGAACGTTCTCCACGGCATCTCCAGACTCTGTCACGTCTGTCACATGTGTTCAGTGTGAACCTGCTTTCATCTGTGAAGAGCACAGGGCGCCAGTGGCAAATTTGCCAATCTTGGTGTTCTCTGGCAAATGCCAAACGTCCTGCACGGTGTTGGGCTGTAAGCACAACCCCCACCTGTGGACGTCGGGCCCTTATACCACCCTCATGGAGTCTGTTTCTGACCGTTTGAGCAGACACATGCACATTTGTGGCCTGCTGGAGGTCCTTTTGCAGGGCTCTGGCAGTGCTCCTCCTGCTCCTCCTTGCACAAAGGCGGAGGTAGCAGTCCTGCTGCTGGATTGTTGCCCTCCTACGGCCTCCTCCACGTCACCTGATGTACTGGCCTGTCTCCTGGTAGCGCCTCCATGCTCTGGACACTACGCTGACAGACACAGCAAACCTTCTTGCCACAGCTCACATTGATGTGCCATCCTGGATGAGCTGCACTACCTGAGCCACTTGTGTGGGTTGTAGACTCCGTCTCATGCTACCTCTAGAGTGAAAGCACCGCCAGCATTCAAAAGTGACCAAAACATCAGCCAGGAAGCATAGGAACTGAGAAGTGGTCTGTGGTCACCACCTGCAAAACCAGTCCTTTATTGGGGGTGTCTTGCTAACTGCCTATAATTTCCACCTGTTGTCTATTCCATTTGCACAACAGCATGTGAAATTTATTGTCAATCAGTGTTGCTTCCTAAGTGGACAGTTTGATTTCACAGAAGTGTGATTGACTTGGAGTTGCATTGTGTTGTTTAAGTGTTCCCTTAATTTTTTTGAGCAGTGTATATTTAATGTGTGTTTTATATTGTATTATACAGAGTACATTTAGAAAAGAGGCCTAGGTCTCAATATGTATTCCCTGTCAAAATAAAGGTAAAATAATAAAACAAAATAGTCAATTTGGCTGACTACTCCATGTACTTATGGAGAACACTGGGAACCTGATCCTACATGAGCACTCCTACTCTTGACTCTTTATGAATATGGGCACTGGTCTTGAACACAGACTGTAGCTTGAGGATAGTATGTATAGAGGTTGTTCACGAGAAGCAGTTGAGTTGTTCATGGTCTACCTTTCTGTTTCTTCAGCTGGGGGAGGCTGCTGATGGTGGTTGCCTGAATGATTTCCACCACGATCTGGTACCTACAGAAAGGAGCGCGAGAAGCAAGGAAAGGAGAGAGTGGAGACAAGGAGAACAAGAGAGGTTATGTTTCAGTTTTTAACGAGAGCGGGACTACCATCAGTATACTTGAAAACATCTTGAAGGATGTCATCCACCTGTAGGCCTACCCAAAGAGCCGCCCTCCACAATAGATATCAGTAATGCAGTGAATTCGGACAGTATTCAGACCCCTTGACTTTTTCCACATTTTGTTACGTTACTGCCTTATTCTAAAATTGATTAAATTGTAATTTTTCTCCTCATCAATTTACACACAATACACCATAAAGACAAAGAAAAAACATGTTTGTTTACTCAGTACTTTGTTGAAGAACCTTTGGCAGCGTTAACAGCCTCGAGTCTTCTTGGGTATGACGCTACAAGCTTGGCACACCTGGAGAGTTTCTCTCATTCTTCTCTGCAGATCCTCTCAAGCTCTGTCAGGTTGGATGGGGAGTGTCGATGCACAGCTATTTTCAGGTCTCTCCAGAGATGTTCAATCGGGGCCACTCAAGGACATTCAGAGACTTGTCCCGAAGCCACTTCTGCATTGTCTTGGCTGTGTGCTTAGGGTTGTTGTCTTGTTGGAAGGTGAACCGTCACCCCAGTCTTTGGTCCTGAGCGCTCTGGAGCAGGTTTTCATCAAGGATCTCTCTATACTTTGCTCCATTCATATTTCCCTCTATCCTGACTAGTCTCCCAGCCCCCTGCTGAAAAACATCCCCTGAAAAACTGCTACCACCATGCTTCACTGTAGGGATGGTGCCAGGTTTCTCATGGTCTGAGTCCTTTAGGTACCTTTTTGCAAACTCCAAGCGGGATGTCATGTTCTTTTTACTGAGAAGTTGTTTCCGTCTGGCCACTGTACCATAAAGGCCTGATTGGTGGAGTGCTGCAGAGATGGTTGTCCTTCTGGAAGGTTCTCCCATCTTCACAGAGGAACTCTGGAGCTCTGTCATAGTGACCATCAGGTTATTGGTCACCTCCCTGACCAAGGCCCTTCTCCCCTGATTACACAGTTTGGCCGGGCGGCCAGCTCTAGGAAGAGTCTTGGTGGTTCCAAACTTCTTCCATTTAAGAATGATGGAGGCCACTGTGTTCTTAGGGACCTTCAATGCTGCAGACATTTTTTGGTACCCTTCCCCAGATCTGTGCCTCGATACAATCCTGTCTCGGAGCTCAACTGTGGGAGCTTGTATAGAAAGGTGTCTGCCTTTCCAAATCATGTCCAACCAATTGAATTTACCACAGGTGGACTACAATCAAGTTGTAGAAACATCTCAAGGATGATCAATGGAAACAGGAAGCACCTGAGCTCAATTTCGAGTCTCATAGCAAAGGGTCTGAATACTTACGTGAATAAGTTATGTTTTTTATTTATTTGCTAAAATGTCTAAAAACCTGTTTTCACATCATTATGGGGTATTGTGTGTATATTCATTAAAAATATTATATTTAATCAATTTTAGAATAAGGCAGTAAGGTAACAAAATGGGGAAAAAGTCAAGGGGTCTGAATACTTTCCAAATGCACTGTATAAACAAAAGTATGTGGACAGTCCTTCAAATTAGTTGATTCAGCTATTTCAGCCACACCCATTGCTGACAAGTGTATAAAATCAAGCACACAGTTATACAATATCCATAGACAAACATTGGCAGTAGAATGGCCTCACTGAAGAGCTCAGTGACTTTCAACGTGGCACCGTCATAGGATGCTACCTTTCCAACAAGTCAGTTTGTCAAATTTCTGCCCTGCTAGAGCTGCCCCAGTCAACTGTAAGTGCTGTTATTGTGAAGTGGAAACGTCTAGGAGCAACAACGGCTCAGCCGCTAAGTGGTAGGGCACACAAGCTCACAGAACTGGACTGCCGAGTGCTGAAGCGCGTAAAAATAGTCTGTCCTCGGTTGCAACACTCACTACCGAGTTCCAAACTTCCTCTGGAAGCAACGTCAGCACAATAACTGTTCGTTGGGAGCTTCATGAAATGGGCTTCATGAAATGGCCAAGCAGCCGTAAACAAGCCTAAGATCACCATGCGCAATGCCTAGCACCGGCTGGAGTGCTGTAAAGCTCGCCGCCATTGGACTCTGGAGCAGTGGAAACGTGTTCTCGAGTAATGAATCATGCTTCACCATCTGGCAGTCCAACGGACAAATCTGGGTTTGGCAGATGCCAGGAGAACGCTACCTGCCCCAATGCATAGTGACAACTGTAAAGTTTGGTGGAGGAGGAATAATGGTCTGGGGCTGTTTTTCATGGTTCGGGCTAGGCCCCTTAGTTACAGTGAAGGGAAATCTTAATGCTACAGCATACAATGACATTCTAGACGATTCTGTGCTTCCAACTTTGTGGCAGTTTGGGGAAGGCCCTTTCCTGTTTCAGCATGACAATGCCCCCGTGCACAAAGCGAGGTCCATACAGAAATGATTTGTCGAGATTGGTGTGGAAGAACTTGACTGTCCTGCACAGAGCCCTGACCTCAACCCCATCCAACACTTTTGGAATACCGACTCAGAGCCAGGTCTAATCGCCCAATATCAGTGCACGACCTCACTAATGCTCAGTGGCTGAATGGAAGCAAGTCCACGCAGCAATGTTCCAACATCTAGTGGAAAGCCTTCCCAGAACAGTGGAGGCTGTTATAGCAGCAAAGGGGGGACCAACTCCATATTAATTTTGGAATGATATGTTTTGACGAGCAGGAGTCCACATTCTTTTGGTCATGCATGTATGTATGCAAAAGTGCCTTGCAAAAGTATTCATGCCCCTTGGCGTTTTTTCTATTTTGTTGCATTACAACCTGTAATTTAAATGGATTGTTATTTGGATTTCATGTAATGGATATACACAATAGTCCAAATTGGTGAAGTGAAATGAAAAAAATTACTTGTTTCAAAGAATTCTAAAAAATAAATAACCGAAAAGTGGTGTGTGTGTATTCACTCCCTTTGCTATGAAGCCCCTAAATAAGATCTGGTACAACCAATTACCTTCAGAAGTCACATAATTAGTTAAATAAAGTCCACCTGTGTGCAATCTAAGTGTCACATGATCTGTCACATGATCTCAGTATATATACACCTGTTCTGAAAGGCCCCAGAGTCTGCAACACCACTAAGCAAGGGGCACCACCAAGCAATCGGCACCATGAAGACCAAGGAGCTCTCTAAACAGGTCAGGGACAAAGTTGAGGAGAAGTACAGATCAGGGTTGGGTTCTAAAAAAACATCAGAAACTTTGAACATCCCACAGAGCACCATTAAATCCATTATAAAAAAATTGAAAGAATATGGCACCACAACAAACCTGCCAAGAGAGGGCCGCCCACAAAAACTCACGGACCAGGCAAGGAGGGCATTAATCAGAGAGGTAACAAAGAGACCAAAGATAATCCTGAAGGAGCTGCAAAGCTCCACAGCGGAGATAGGAGTATCTGTCCATAGGACCACTTTAAGCCGTACACTCCACAGAGCTGGGCTTTACGGAAGAGTGGCCAGAAAAAAGCCACTGCTTAAAGAAAAAAATAAGCAAACACGTTTGGTGTTCGCCAAAAGGCATGTGGGAGACTCCCCAAACATATGGAAGAAGGTACTCTGGTCAGGTGAGACTAAAATTGAGCTTTTTGGCCATCAAGGAAAACGCCATGTCTGGCGCAAACCCAACACCTCTCATCACTCCGAGAACACCATCCCCACAGTGAAGCATGGTGGTGGCAGCATCATGCTGTGGGGATGTTTTTCATCGGCAGGGACTGGGAAACTGGTCAGAATTGAAGAAATGATGGATGGCGCTAAATACAGGGAAATTCTTGAGGGAAACCTGTTTCAGTCTTCCAGAGATTTGAGACTGGGACGGAGGTTCACCTTCCAGCAGGACAATGACTAAGCATACTGCTAAAGCAACACTTGAGTGGTTTAAGGGGAAACATTTAAATGTCTTGGAATGGCCTAGTCAAAGCCCAGACCTCAATCCAATTGAGAATCTGTGGTATGACTTAAAGATTGCTGTACACCAGCGGAACCCATCCAACTTGAAGGAGCTGGAGCAGTTTTGCCTTGAAGAATGGGCAAAAATCTCAGTGGCTAGATGTGCCAAGCTTATAGAGACATACCCCAAGAGACCTGCAGCTGCAATTGCTGCAAAAGGTGGCTCTGCAAAGTATTGACTTTGGGGAGGTGAATAGTTATGCACGCTGAAGTTCTGTTTTTTTGTCTTATTTGCATCTTCAAAGTGGTAGGCATGTCGTGTAAATGAAATGATACAAATCCCCAAAAAATATTTTTTAATTCCAGGTTGTAAGGCAACAAAATACGAAAAATGCAAAGTGGGGTGAATACTTTCACAAGCCACTGTATGTATGGAGGGCTTTACCAGTTGCTTGTCAAAGGCTTTGAGTCTAAAAAAAGAACCAGGTAATGATTCCTGCAGGCTGACTCAGTGAGTCTAGTGGTGTGTTATGGCTAGAGGCTGACATGGCTCATAAGAGTGTGGGCGGAGGAGGGAGGAAGAGGTAAGGATGTAGGGAGGGAGGAGGGGGGGTGGAGGGAGGTAATGGCTGTAGCCTGCAGGAGAGCTGAACATAGCACAGAAGTAAAGCACCCTGATCACCAAGGAGAGGCGGCTGCCCTAATTATATTTGATGAGAAGCTGCGGTGTACATCAATGACGGAGGAACGAAGGGCTGTGATGAGGGGAGAGGGGGTAGAGAATCACGAATGAGGCTGTTAGACAGGAGAGCTCTCTAGGCTTAGGGACACAGGGATGCAGGTAAATAGAGGCACACAAACACACAGTTGGCTTAAGGTGAGTGACGGTGTGACGTGTGGTTATGATGACGAACGCAAGCGAAGACGTCAAGGTGGCACTTGACAGCGTGGGTGAGGTGCACGTGTTGGCATGGATAATGACAATACTAGAGCTCTGCTGTGTCAGACAGGGCCTCTACACACACAGACACCTCCCTGCCACAACAGTGTGAGGATGGTTAGGCTGCTCTGTACCTGAGCTGTTTGAGGAAGTCGATGTCTGAGGAGGAGCTGATGAGCTTGATGAACTCCTCGTAGGACGGGGCGTAGGTATAAGCCTTCTTGTGGTGCTCGTTGAGCTGCTCGCGGTGCTCCAGCTGAGACAGTAGCATGCGGTTCAGGAAGTCTGGGTCACTCAGCACCTCCACCAGGGGCTTCAGCACTGCACACACAGTAGAAAACAGGCTTATATAGTGGCATGTGCCATCTTATTCATTCAGGCACACACAAGAGAACCAGCTAATATAGTAAAGTGACATCCTCTGACACAAACACACACTAAAGAGCCAGCTTTGAATCTAAAAGCCTCTTTCTTATTCATCCACACGCTATCCTGGATTTCCTTTATTACAACAGTTTGTCTGGCCTGCCTGCAGATGTCACTGGCTCTCCGAGTTGGCTTCTTCACAGTTATAAGGGAAGGGGTGACTCATACATGCTTACAAAAGTAGCCCCAAACAGCTCAACTGGTAAAGGCGGAGGTTGGGGGTAGCAGGTAGAAGAACGGGGTAGCAGGTAGAAGAACAGGGTAGCGTCCCAAATGGCACTCTTTGCACTATACAGTGCACTACTTTTGACCAAAGCGGGCTCTGGTCAAAAGTACTGCTCTATGTAGAGACGCAGAACAGGGGATTTCATCAGTCTGACAGCTTATTGGATGGCTACAGCTCCAGAGCTCTGCTGGGGGATTTGGGGGCTGACCTATGGGCTGGTACAGGAACCACTCCACTGACTCTCTCCATGTCGCTGTTCAGTGTTCAGTACAAACACGTCCATAGAGAGGAAGTGCAGAGAGGCGTGATCTGCCTGTCTGACTGCCTGAGCGAGCATCATATTTTCTCCTCTCCCCCCCTCTCTCCTCCTGCAACTCTCCTTCATCTGCATATTATCTCCAAGTCACTAGTATCTTTTGTAGATCTGAGAGAGCTACATGATTTTCTGACATCTCAGTTTTTGTGTTGCTCTCTGATGGGTATGAATACTGAGTGTAGGCATTATCTGCACTAGGCGAGACTTTGTTAAAATGGCTTTTAACTGTGATTTTAAAGATAATCTCTGGCAATTAGAATCAGCAATATAATAAAGGCTTTGGCCACTCCAGGCAGCCCCTGCCTTGTTACAGAGGGCAGTGGTCTGTAGATTTCCGCAGACTTCACTCTCCGGCAGTGTCCCAAATGGCACCGTATTCCTTACATAGTGCACTAGTTTCAACCAAAACTAGTGCACTATATAGGAAAATAGAGAGCCACGCACATCCCTCTCTCCACCTAATCAGCCTTTCATTGACAGAACCCAGTAGGATTACAATGTCCCATTGCTCAAGAAGTCAAATCTATCCTTAAATCGAATTACTATGAGAGAGAAAAAATATAAAAATAAAAATGATTTATAAAATTTAAGCAAATACCCCCCAAAAACCTGATAACATACAAAACAATAACATTGAAATCTGTGAACATATGACAAAATCTGTGAACATATCTGACTAATGTCGAGCAGTTACATTGAGCATTTTGGATGGTGTCCAGTGATTTCTGCTTGCTTCTTTGATCCAGATCAACGGATGCTCTAACCTGAGGGGTAGCCTAAGACTGAGCACTCCTCTCCATCCTCATCCAACGACATGGCCGGCGAGCATAGGTATAAGAGCGCCAGATCTAATATGATCAGTACTTTGAAGGAGGGATGTTGCTAAGTAATGGCGGTAATAAAGATCTAATTAGGGGCTGTTAGTATATTTTTGTCAACCATCTGTGCCTGCAAGAGAAACAAAATCGCCCCCACACCTTCCTGACTGAGCCCATTCTTCTCTGCTCTGCCTCCGTCTGTCTGCACAGTGAGGCAGCCTCCCTCCCATCACTGGAGCCACTGGTAGCGGTCTATAGATGCGGCTTTGCTACTTATAGCACTGCACCTCAGCTCACAGGGAAGTGAAATACTGTTGTGAAACACAAGCCCCTATTCTGATATTCTGATTGTTATTGCCTTTCATTTTTCAGTTGGCGCCCCATGACGTCTTCAGAAACAGTCCATAGTTACAAATATTTAACACCAGCAAATAATATTGTTGTTGTTTCCTTCTGGGGTTTTTTGTTACTACAGCGAGGCATGCATGAGAGCATTTTTCCCACAGCAGGGGTGTCACACATACAGCCTGCGGGCCGGATCCGGCCAATCAGGCCTATATACACTACCGTTCAAAAGTTTGGGGTCACTTAGAAATTTCATTTTTTCAAAAGAAAAGCACATTTTTTGTCCATTAAAATAACATCAAATTGATCAGAAATACAGTGTAGACATTGCTAATGTTGTAAATGGCTATTGTAGCTAGAAACGGCTGATTTTTTATGGAATATCTACATAGATGTACAGAGGCCCATTATCAGCAACCATCAGTCCTGTGTTCTAATGACACGTTGTGTTTGCTAATCCAAGTTTATCATTTTAAAAGGCTAATTGATCATTAGAAAACCCTTTTGCAATTATGTTAGCACAGCTGAAAACTGTTGTGCTGAATAAAGAAGCAATAAAACTGGCCTTCTTGAGACTAGTTGAGTATCTGGAACATCAGCAATTGTGGGTTCGATTACAGGCTCAAAATGGCCAGAAAGAACTTTCTTCTGAAACTCGTCAGTCTATTCTTGTTCTGAGAAATGAAGGCTATTCCATGCGAGAAATTGCCAAGAAACTGACGATCTCGTACAACGCTGTGTACTACTCCCTTCACAGAACAGCGCAAACTGTCTCTAACCAGAATAGAAAGAGGAGTGGGAGGCCCCGGTGCACAACTGAGCAAGATGACAAATACATTAGTGTCTAATTTGAGAAACAGGCGCCTCACAGGTCCTCAACTGGCAGCTTCATTAAATAGGACCCACAAAACACCAGTCTCAACGTCAACAGTGAAACGGTGACTCCGGGATGCCTTTTCCAGCTACAACAGCCATTTACAACATTAACAATGTCTACACTGTATTTCTGATTAATTTGATGTTAAATAAAAAGATTAAGATGGGCAAAAGAACACAGACACTGGACAGAGGACGTTTGGAAAAAGGTGTTATTGACAGACGAATCGAAGTTTGAGGTGTTTGGATAACAACGCAGTGAAACGCAGACCAAATGAAAAGATGCTGGAGGAGTGCTTGATGCCATCTGTCAAGCATGGTGGAGGCAATGTGATGGTCTGGGGGTGCTTTGGTGGTGGTAAAGTGGGAGATTTGTACAGGGTAAAAGGGATCTTCAAGAAGGAAGGTTATCACTCCATTTTGCAACGCCATGCCATACCCTGTGGACGGCGCTTGATTGGAGCCAATTTCCTCCTACAACAGGACAATGACCCAAAGCACAGCTCCAAACTATGCAATAACTATTTAGGGAAGAAGCTTCTGTCTATAGTGGAGTGGCCAGCACAGTCACCGGATCTCAACCCTATTGAGCTATTGTGGGAGCAGCTTGACCGTATAGTACATAAGAAGTGCCCATCAAGCCAATCCAAGTTGTGGGAGGGTGAAATGTCTTCAGATTACCTCAACAAATTGACAACTAGAATGCCAAAGGTCTGCAAAGTTGTAATTGCTGCAAATGGAGGATTATTTGACGAAAGCAAAGTTTGAAGGACACAATTATTATTTAAATTAAAAATCATTATTTGTAACCTTGTCAATGACTACATTTGCTATTCATTTTACTATATTTCCTATTCAAACTAATTTCATGTATGTTTTCATGGAAAACAAGGTAATTTCTAAGTGACCCCAAACTTTTGAACGGTAGTGTATATATATATTTTTATACAATAGGGGGAAACTAACGCAATAAAATGTAAAATGACTAAAACCAAATCAAAACTAAAGTAGAAATTATAATGGACCTACATGCATACAGTTTCTTCACTGTGTCCAGCTCACTAATAAATCACTGAAATAAAAGCTAGACAGGGAGCATCGGCTATTCCCAAAACTATGGATAGAGGAAAATGATTTGCGAAATGTTGATGGCGAGGAAATATAACACATTTACAGTGCAGCCCCCCGGACCTCGTTGAAGAACGAATTCGACCCCCGGGGCAAAATTTTTTTGCAGCACACCGCCAGCAGCCGAAAAGGTATTAAGTTTGCGCTATGGCACATCATCAAGCCCACATCATTGCTCATCATGCCAGTGTTACATGAACACTGAATGAGGTTCGGAGGGAACAGTCTGTCCACAGTCACAGTATAAATAGTTTTCTAAATCACTGAGTATGCATCCCAAATGCACCCTATTCCCATTGGGAATAGGTTTTGGGCCCTGGTCAAAAGTTGTGCGCTATAAAGGGAATAGGGTGCCATTTGGGACACATTGTGAGTCAGTCCCTGTGTTGAATGAACAGTGGATGAGCTTTAGTGAGCGGATGGTGTATCCCTGGCTGTCTGTGTACCTTTGGTGGTGATGACCTCCACTAGCACCACACGCAGGCTGTAGGAGCGGGCGTCTCGTGTGGGCAGCAGGCACAGGATGAGCAGGCGGGCACAGCAGTGCAGGAACCGCAGCTCCTCCTCGGTGCTCTGCAGACATGGGTGCAGGGGGAAGGGCTTGGGCAACTCCTCCTGCCTGGAGAGATGAGGAGGAAAGGGAGAAAAGGGGTGAGCAAAATCAGTCACAGAGAGCTTGCAGCTGAGAGAGAGTGAGAGAGAGAACGGGAGAGAAATATGCTGGTGGGGCTCATCACAGAGCCAGGCTAGTGTCTAGACAAAGAAGAGTGGAGCTGGGACGATACCAGTATCACAACAATCGTTTAGCAAAACAGCCCTAGTCGTCAGATGTGTGATTTTGCACAGTGTAGATGCTTCATCTCTAGATTACCGTCTGTCCTCATGACAGATCCCTGGGCGCTGGTCAAAAGTAGTGCATTATGCATGGAATAGGGTGCAATTTGGGACTTAACCACTATGTGAGGGTCTGCAGAGCAGACAGCTGATACAAACTGCAGTCACAGCTCTTTCATTTTAAAGGACCAATGCTGCCGTTTTTATCTCAATATCAAAGCATTTCTGGGTAACCATTAAGTACCTTACTGTGATTGTTTCAATTAAAGTGGTCAAAAATGGCTTCTTAGCAAAGAACAATTTCTCAAGTAAGAATTTAGCTAGGACTGTCTGGGAGTGGTCTGAGTGGGGAGGGGAAAACAGAAAACTAAATGTTATTAGCAGTTTGGAACCCTCTTTCTTATTGGTCTATTAAAAGGGTAGGAAGCATGAGCTTTTACTCACCAAAGTAACAACACAGTGTGGTCAAAGACTTAGTAACTTAGTTGTAGTCACGAACTGGTTAACTATAACTACAAACATAGTTATGTTTTGGGGGTTTTACATATTTATTAACTTATTTCCAGATATCTTCTAAACTACCCACAAAACTTCTCAACGTCATATGGAGAACCTACTCTATGTTAGCTAGCTCAAGCTGGCTAACGTTAGCAATGCAGACAGTGTTGGCAGTGGTGACCTACAATCCACCAATCAGATTCCCCACACGTGGGGGCCGCATGATCCTGCTCGGCTGCTCCAGGCAGCTCTGACTTCTCCTGTATCGGCAGGCTTGCCTCTGGCTCAAAAGGAAAGTGGAAAATCATTCCTGCCTGCTGTAATCTTTTAGTACCTTATCTGTTCTGTTTTTTTTTTCCTTCATCCAATTTGTTTGGTCAGCTTTCCGACCTGTTCTCCGTGAAGTAGGCTACCTTAGTTTTTCCACCATCTGCCAAGAGCCTTTCTCAGATCCTTATTGTTGACTCTTCCCCTAGTCTCCTGTGCCCAATGCCACCTCTGGAATATATCTACCTCACTATATCGCCATTTGTAAAATGGTCTCTCCCTCTGAAGCGCCTCTCTCCTTGGGTCTTCTTTGGTAGCTAACTCAGTCGTCAATCAGTAAGTCTCCTCTCTACTTTTTTTTTGTGGGTTCTGTGGGTTCGTGCCTGTGCTAGACTAGTTGGCTGTGCTAGTTGCCTGTGCTAGACTAGTTGGTGTTGTTCTCTGGGTTACTACTCTGATTGGCCAGCAGGGAGCGGGAACTATCTCTGTCAGAGTATTTGAAGAAGAACTTAGAACAATGGATCAGTTCTCTGAGTGCCCTGCGTGGTATTTCAGTGGACCCGTATATACGAACATCATATTTACCATTGAAGGTTTTGCATTAATTAAAATACTAGTCTATTTTAGAAGACGTGTATTGACCTCTTTTGTTCCTAATACCAGATTTGAATTGACGCAACTTAACATTTGTTTACTTTAATGTAGCTGTAGACTAAGTGTTGATAGCAACTGGCTGACTCATGCAGTGAATAGGCTATGGGAGTTTTGTAACTTTCTCCACCTTGGCTTAGTGATAGCGCGCTAGCTGACGGACATCCGGAATAGATCTATTTGGGATTACCCTGACTCTCCATTGGCCGGTGAAGTGCCCACCTCCCCCTGGCTTTGGAAGCGAACTTTAATGTAGCTGTAAGCTAGGTGTTGATAGCAACTGGCTGACTCATGTAGTGCTAACGTAACGTTAGCAGGATAGTTAGGCTAACGTTAGCAGGCTAGTTGGCTAGCAACCTTGCAAGTTGATTTGTAACAATACATTCTTAAAGTATTTGCTTGTAAGTTGCCAGAAAATTTAATTGAAACCAGTAGTCATGAGTGCAAACGATTTGGTTTAATTTGAATTGCAATGCAGACTGAACCAGAGGTAGCGAGGCAGGTCTGTTCCAGTGCATCTGAAACAAGCTGGCATAGAAATTCCTCCACTGTGCTAAATAATGAGCAGCATCTCCAGCTGGCAGTCTGAGGGAGGGAGACACTGGCTGATTTTCAAGTTTTAAGAGGGACCACTGACATATCACTAACAGCTACAGCTAGCTGTCTGAGCAGAAAGAATGTGGCACTGGCAACATACACTGAGTGTACAAAATATTAAGAACACCTACTCTTTCCATAACATAGACTGACCAGGTGAATCCAGGTGAACGCTATGATCCCTTAATATTTCAAAAATTCAATTCAGTCTGGTATGAGAACAGTAGCCCCTAACTGCAAAAGCATGGTTTCTGCGGAAAGCTGAGTATCTTGGCTATTGATCGGTGCGTTCAAATCTTTGGTATGACTTACTACCATATATGGGCATACGAATTTATAATGTAAGGCCGAGCCGATGAACTAATTTCAAGATGGCTGCTAACTACATTCCGGTTAGCGTTGTGAAGCATAAACGAAATAAACACGGAATGCGCTGACACACACCGAAAGCCGGGCCTCCACAGATCATGAGGATATCTAATTTGTCTCCCTGTGACCTACCGTTATTGATCACCAGCCCCGAGAGTCAAAATGTATATTTTACACAACGTTTTCACCAAACATCTTACAAGGTAAGCTTAGATTTGGTCTGTTTGAGCTATAGCTACATGGGGGGTATCAAATTAACCCTTAGGTTGGTAGGAGCAAATCTAGCCTGTTTTCTGATGATGTATGACTTAACGGCAACATTGAATGTCCACTGAGTGACTATCTTTGTGCATCAAAAATATGCGCATCAAAAATATGTTGCCTGCTTACGCACTGTAGGCATCCATATCCCCTGTATGTCCCCCGACACCACCACAACATTTGAGAGAGGTTGGTGTTGTAGAAATTTCGTTTTTATAGTGAACAATAATTTTTAGGCACATCCAGTGTGCAAAAACAGTGCAATTACCACATTCAGACACTTTGGAGAGGTTGAAAGGACACTATGGGGTACCCTGCATACCCCATAACACCGAGTGAGGTTTATATGATAGAAATTGTGTCTTTATACTGAACAAAAAGCATTTAGGGATTGCAAATATGTAATAGCACTGGAATTATCTAATTTACAGACGTGTCACTTTGGAGAGGTTTAGGGACACTTAGAAATGTCCCGTGACCACACCTGACACCACTTACTAAAACATTTGCCCATTTCTAGTTGTTAGGTCTATCAATCCCTTTCTTTCCTAATATTGTTCACATGTTGTGGAAGCCATCTGATGTGTTTCCAGCTCTAGTCATCAATAACTCACTTATAGCTTGTCAATGAAAGATTACTTTCAAAATAAAGAAAGTTATTTTGTGTGTGTTTGATCTTGTGTATTCTTAACTATGTAACTCCTACCTATCTTCTGATCATTTCCTCATAATCTCCCAGATGTCTTATTTCCAAATATACCAAGTTTTTACATGTCAGAATCATGTAATTACACATGAATAGCAGTTACTTTTGAGTATGCCTATTTAGGCGGAAATCTACATTTTGCCATTACATTTAAGAGGTTAAATCCACTTCAAATCAGTGTAGATGAAGGGGAGGAGATGGGTTAAAGAAGGATTTTTAAGCCTTGAGACAATTGAGACATGGATTGTGTATGTGTGCCATTCAGAGGGAGAATGGGCAAGACAAAATATTTAAAGTGCCTTTGAACGGGGTATTGTAGTAGGTGCCAGGCGCACCAGTTTGTGTCAAGAACTGCAACGCTGCTGAGTTTTTCACGCTCAACAGTTTCCTCTGTATCAAGAATGGTCCACCACCGAAAGGACATCCAGCCAACTTGACACAACTGTGGGAAGCATTGGAGTCAACATGGGAAAGCAACTCAATTTTAGGAAAGTGTTCTTAATGTTTTGTACACTCAGTGTATATACCCCAAAATATACACAATATGGCATTTGAGACACATCCAATAAATCCTCGATCAGTTGATGGCTGACCTCTATCTCTCAAAGTCAATGTGGGATGCAGAGCAAGAGCTATACACAGGGCAGAAACCAAGGTAAGGTACAGCCTGCCCAATGTGATGACCTTCTACTGCAGTCAAAGTCTCTCAGAGGTAAATGTCAACCGGTTACCTAGCTGAGAGCGGAGTTCCTGCTTCAATGTTAACTTTGATTTGAACTGGCCTACTGTTGAAATACACTACCTTTCAAAACTTTGGGGTCGCTTAGAAATGTCCTTGTTTTCGAAAGAAAATAAAAAAAATTGTCCATTAAAATAACATCAAATTGATCAGAAATACAGTGTAGACATTGTTAATGTTGTAAATGGCTATTGTAGCTGGAAACAGCTGATTTTTTATGGAATATCTACATACAGTGGCTTGCGAAAGTATTCACCCCCCCTTGGCATTTTTCCTATTTTGTTGCCTTACAACCTGGAATTAAAATGGATTTTGGGGGGGATTGTATCATTTGATTTACACAACATGCCTACCACTTTGAAGATGCAAAATATTTTTTATTGTGAAACAAACAAGAAATAAGACAAGAAAACAGACTTTGAGCGTGCATAACTATTTACCCCCCCAAAGTCAATACTTTGCAGAGCCACCTTTTGCAGCAATTACAGCTGCAAGTCTCTTGGGGTATGTATCTATAAGCTTGGCACATCTAGCCACTGGGATTTCTGCCCATTCTTAAAAGGCAAAACTGCTCCAGCTCCTTCAAGTTGGATGGGTTCCGCTAGTGTACAGTAATCTTTAAGTCATACCAAAGATTCTCAATTAGATAGAGGTCTGGGCTTTGACTAGGATATTTCCAAGACATTAAAACATTTCCCCTTAAACCACTCGAGTGTTGCATTAGCAGTATGCTTAGGGTCATTGTCCTGCTGGAAGGTGAACCTCCGTCCCAGTCTCAAATCTCTGGAAGACAAAAAAGGTTTCCCTCAAGAATTTCCCAGAATTTAGCTCCATCCATCATTCCTTCAATTCTGACCACTTTCCCAGTCCCTGCCGATGAAAAACATCCCCACAGCATGATGGTGCCACCACCATGCTTCACTGTGGGGATGGTGTTCTTGGGGTGATGAGAGGTGTTGGGTTTGTGCCAGACATAGCGTTTTCCTTGATGGCCAAAAAGCTCAATTTTAGTCTCATCTGACCAGAGTACCTTCTTCCATATGTTTGGGGAGACTCCCACATACCTTTTGGCGAACACCAAACGTGTTTGCTTATTTTTTTCTTTAAGCAATGGCTTTTTTCTGGCCACTCTTCGGTAAAGCCCAGCTCTGGAGTGTACAGGGAAACGCTATGTCACCCTAGTCATAGACTGTTCTCTCTGCTACCGCACGGCAAGCGGTACCGGAGTGCCAAGTCTAGGTCCAAAAGACTTCTCAACAGCTTCTACCCCCAAGCCATAAGACTCCTGAACAGCTAATCATGGCTACCCGGACTATTTGCACTGCCCCCCCACCCCATCCTTTTTACGCTGCTGCTACTCTGTTAAGTATTTATGCATAGTCACTTTAACTCTACCCACATGTACATATTACCTCAACTACCTCAACTAGCCGGTGCCCCCGCACATTGACTCTGCAACGGTACCCCCCTGTATATATAGCCTCCCTACTGTCACTTTATTTTACTGTATATATAGCCTCCCTACTGTCACTTTATTTTACTTCTGCTCTTTTTTTCTCAACACTTTTTTGTTGTTGTTGTTTTATTCTTACTTTTTTTGTTTAAAATAAATGCACTGTTGGTTAAGGGCTGTAAGTAAGCATTTCACTGCAATGTCTGCACCTGTTGTATTCGGCGCATGTGACCAATAAAATTTGATTTGATTTGATTTGATACAGCTTAAAGTGGTCCTATGGACAGATACTCCAATCTCCGCTGTGGAGCTTTGCAGCTCCTTCAGGGTTATCTTTGGTCTCTTTGATGCCTCTGATTAATGCCCTCCTTGCCTGGTACGTGAGTTTTGGTGGGCGGCCATCTCTTGGCAGATGTTGTGGTGCCATATTCTTTCAATTTTTTAATAATGGATTTAATGGTGCTCCGTGGGATGTTCAAAGTTTCGGATGTGTTTCTTTATAACCCAACCCTGATCTGTACTTCTCCACAATTTGTCCCTGACCTGTTTGAAGAGCACCTTGGTCTTCATGGTGCCCCTTGCTTAGTGGTGTTGCAGACTCTGGGACCTTTCAGAACAGGTGTATATATACTGAGATCATGTGACACTTAGATAAAATCCACCTGTGTGCAATCTAACTAATTATGTGACTTCTGAAGGCAATTGGTTGCACCAATCTTATTTAGGGGCTTCATAGCAAAGGGGGTGAATACATATTTTTTTCATTTCATAGCCTTCATTTCTCAGAACAAGAATAGACTGACGAGTTTCAGAAGAAAGTTATTTGTTTCTGGCCATTTTGAGCCTGTAATCAAACCCACAATTGCTGATGCTCCAGATACTCAACTATTCTCAAGGCGGCCAGTTTTATTGCTTCTTTAAATCAGCACAACAGTTTTCAGCTGTGCTAACATAATTGCAAAAGGGTTTTCTAATGATCAATTAGCCTTTTAAAATGATAAATTTGGATTAGCAAACACAACGTGCCATTGGAACACAGGACTAATGGTCGCTGATAATGGGCCTCTGTACGCCTATGTAGATATTCCATTAAAAATCAGCCGTTTCCAGCTACAACAGCCATTTACAACATTAACAATGTCTACACTGTATTTCTGATTAATTTGATGTTATTTTTAAATGGACAAAAAAATTGATTTTCTTTCCAAAAAAAATACATTTCTAAGTGACCCCAAACTTTTGAACGGTAGCGTATATCTGATGGAATGCTAATAGAATAGAATACAATCTTTAAATTGGTCGCTTCACTGTATTGTAAGTAACACTATGCAGTACGGGAGCTAAATGAACTAACAGTCGCACAGCGAGTGACTTCATTTAATCCTGCATTAGAAATCCGGCATACATACATCTACATTCATCATCTCAATTGAGGTTTTATGACTTCAGCTGCTCAGACAGTACATTTCCCTGGCTGTGTCCTTGCTTTCAAAGGAGTGCTCCACTGCTAGATTTACATGGCGGGGGGAACTGGGAAGCAGCACGGCTCAGTGCAGGCAGAGAGAACAGTGACTTTACAGCATTGTAAACACTGGCCATTAATCAGACGGCTAAAACAGCCAGACAGTGAAGAAGCATCCTCTCCAGTCCAGTAGCATAAGTATGAGTAAGAACCTTGTCCTGAGCCTTGCTCTGCCATGTATAAACAAGGCTGCTCTCCTCTCCTGAGGCCAGCGGGAAGCTGGGTAATTCTGATTGATGATGACCACATCTACCTCCACACCAGACCAGAGAGGCCCATGTTAGGGCCCCTGATCCCCTCTTCTCTAGCCTGCTCCCAGATCTGTTTGTGTTGTCCTAACTCCTAAAGTCATCAAACCTGAGTGAGTTGGCAAGAACGCACAAACAGATCTCAGTCCTCCTCTACCTGGTGTTGGCGGTCTTGAGGTCACAGAAGTGTACATGGAGGTTCTTGACGGTGTCGTTGCAGACCACATTGACCATGTCGATGTCAGCCAGGCGGCCCCGCAGCTGCTTGGCCATCTCCCAGAAGTCCTCTGACAGCATCTGGTAGAGCTGTCCCTCGTCACGGCTCAGTGGCACATACCACGACAGGATGTAGTCCCTGTAGCTGTAGTCAAACACTGGAGGACAGAGAACAAGATGTGGTTGGTAAATTGCTTTGGCAAAATACAGGGTAGATTTAAGCAAACACATCAATAGAAACCTTTGCTGATATAGGGTAGAAATTAGCAAATGGGATTTACAGTCGTGGTCAAAAGTTTTGAGAATGACTCAAGTATTGGTCTTCACAAAGTTCGCTGCTTCAGTGTTATGAAATATTTTTGTCAGATGTTACTATGGTATACTGAAGTATAATTACAAGCATTCCATAAGTGTCAAAGGCTTTTATTGACAATTACATTAAGTTTATGCAAAGTGTCAATATTTGCAGTGTTGTCCCTTCTTTTTCAAGACCTCTGCAATCCGCCCTGGCATGCTGTCAATGGCAGCCCATTTTTTTCATTGCTTGAAGTTTGTCAGAATTTGTGGGTTTTTGTTTGTCCACCCGCCTCTTGAGGATCGACCACAAGTTCAAAATGGGATTAAGGTCTGGGGAGTTTCCTGGCCATGGACCCAGAATGTCAATGTTTTGTTCCCAGAGCCACTTAGTTATCACTTTTGCCTTATGGCAAGTTGCTCCATCATGCTGGAAAAGGCATTGGTCATCACCAAACTGTTCTTGGATGATTGGGAGAAGTTGCTCTCGGAGGATGTGTTGGTACCATTCTTTATTCATGGCTGTGTTCTTAGGCAAAATTGTGAGTGAGCCCACTCCCTTGGCTGAGAAGCAACCCCACACATGAATGGTCTCAGGATGCTTTACTGTTGGCATGACACAGGACTGATGGTAGCGCTCACCTTGTGTTTTCTGGATGCCCCAAACAATCGGAAAGGGGATTCATCAGAGAAAATGACTTTACCCCAGTCCTCAGCAGTCCAATCCCTATACCTTTTGCAGAATATGTATTTTATTTTTTTATTTTATTTAACCTTTATTTAACTAGGCAATTCAGTTAAGAACAAATTCTTATTTACAATGACGGCCTACACCGGCCAAACCCGGACGACGCTGGGCCAATTGTGCGTTGCCCTATGGGACTCCCAATCACGGCCGGTTGTGATACAACCTGGAATCGAAACAAGGGGTCTGTAGTGACGCCTTAAGCACTGAGATGCAGTGGCTTAGACCGCTGCGTCACTTGGGAGCACCTCTGTCCCTGATGTTTTTCCTGGAGAGAAGTGGCTTCTTTGCTGCCCTTCTTGACACTAGGCCATCCTCCAAAAGTCTTCGCCTCACTGTGCGTGCAGATGCACTCACACCTGCCTGCTGCCATTCCTGAGCAAGCTCTGCACTGGTGGTGCCCCGATCCCGCAGCTGAATCAACTTTAGGAGACGGTCCTGGCACTTGCTGGACTTTCTTGGGTGCCCTGACGCCTTCTTCACAACAGTTGAACCTCTCTCCTTGAAGTTCTTGATGATCTGATAAATGGTTGATTTAGGTGCAATCTTACTAGCATCAATATCCTTGCCTGTGATGCCCTTTTCGTGCAAAGCAATGATGACGGCACGTGTTTCCTTGCAGGTAACCATGGATAACAGAGGAAGAACAATAATTTCAAGCACCACCCTCCTTTTAAAGCATCCAGTCTGTTATTCTAACTCAATCAGCATGACAGAGTGATCTCCAGCCTTGTCCTCGTCAACACTCTCACCTGTGTTAAGAGAATCACTGACATGATCAAATCAAATCAAATGTTATTTGCCACATGCGCTGAATTTGTTATTTTGATTTCACCTTTATTTAACCAGGTAAGCCAGTTGAGAAAAAGTTCTAATTTACAACTGCGACCTGGCCAAGATAAAGCAAAGCAGTGCGGTAAAAACAACAACACAGAGTTACATATGGAATAAACAAAACGTACAGTCAATAACACAATAGAAAATCTATATACAGTGTGTGCAAATGTAGTAAGTTATGGAGGTAAGGCAATAAATAGGCCATAGTGCAAAATAATTACAATTATAATTTAGTATTAACACTGGAGTGATAGATGTGCAGAAGATGATGTGCAAATAGAGATACTGGGGTGCAAATGAGCAAAATAAATAATGTAAATAACAATATGGGGATGAGGTAGTTGGGTGGGCTAATTAAAGATGGGCTGTGTACAGGTGCAGTGATCGGTAAGCTGCTCTGACAACTGATGCTTAAAGATAGTGAGGGAGATAAGTGTCTCCAGCTTCAGAGATTTACAACAGGTGTAGACATTAGCATGAAATGCTTACTTACAGCCCTTAACCAACAATGCATAATTTTTTTTATAAAAAAAAGTAAAATAAAACAACAAAAAAAGTGTTGAGAAAAAAAGAGCAGAAGTAAAATAAAATAACAGTAGGGAGGCTATATACAGGGGGGTACCGGTACAGAGTCAATGTGCGGGGGTACCGGCTAGTTGAGGTAATATGTACATGTGGGTAGAGTTAAAGCGACTATGCATAAATAATTAACAGAGTAGCAGCAGAGTAAAAAGATGGGGTGGGGGGGCAGTGCAAGTAGTGCGGGTAGCCATGATTAGCTGTTCAGGAGTCTTATGGATTGGGGGTAGAAGCTGTTTAGAAGCCTTTTGGACCTAGACTTGGCGCTCCGGTACCGCTTGCCATGCGGTAGCAGAGAGAAAAGTCTATGACTAGGGTGGCTGGAGTCTTTGACAATTTTGAGGGCCTTCCTCTGACACCGCCTGGTATAGAGGTCCTGGATGGCAGGAAGCTTGGCCCCAGTGATGTACTGGGCCGTACGCACTACCCTCTGTAGTGCCTTGCGGTCGGAGGCCGAGCAGTTGCCATACCAGACCGTGATGCAACCAGTCAGGATGCTCTCAATGGTGCAGCTGTATAACTTTTTGAGGATCAGAGGACCCATGCCAAATCTTTTCAGTCTCCTGAGGGGGAATAGGCTTTGTCGTGCCCTCTTCACGACTGTCTTGGTGTGTTTGGACAATGATAGTTCGTTGGTGATATGGACACCAAGGAACTTGAAGCTCTCAACCTGTTCCACTACAGCCCCTTCGATGAGAATGGGGGCGTGCTCAATCCTCTTTTTTTTCCTGTAGTCCATAATCATCTCCTTTGTCTTGGTCACGTTGAGGGAGAGGTTGTTTTCCTGGCACCACACGGCCAGGTCTCTGACCTCCTCCCTATAGGCTGTCTCATCATTGTCGGTGATCAGGCCTACCACTGTTGGGTTTCTGGGATAATGGTGTTGATGTGAGCCATGACCAGCCTTTCAAAGCACTTCATGGCTACAGACGTCAGCGCTACGGGTCAGTAGTCATTTAGGCAGGTTATCTTAGTATCCTTGGGCACGGGGTCTGCTTGAAACATAATATATATAATAATAATATAAAATATAATAATATTATCATGTTGGTATTACAGACTCAGTCAGGGACATGTTAAAAATGTCGGTGAAGACACTTGCCAGTTGGTCAGCACATGCACGGAGTACATGTCCTGGTAATCCGTCTGGCCCTGCGGCCTTGTGAATGTTGACTTGCTTAAAAGTCTTACTCACATCGGCTACGGAGAGCGTGATCACATAGTCATCCGGAACAGCTGGTGCTCTCATGCATGCTTCAGTGTTGCTTGCCTCGAAGCGAGCATAGAAGTGGTTTAGCTCGTCTGGTAGGCTTGTGTCACTGGGCAGCTCGCGGCTGTGCTACCCTTTAGCTCAGTGCGGATGTTGCCTGTAATCCATGGCTTCTGGTTGGGGTATGCAGTGGAAAAGTTTTTTGGAGATTAAGTTCATTTTCATGGCAAAGAGGGTCTTTGCGATTAATTGCAATTCATCTGATCACTCTTCATGACATTCTGGAGTATATTGCAAATTGCCATCATCAAAACTGAGGCAGACTTTGTGAAAATTAGTATGTGTAATTCTCAAAACTTTTGACCACGACTGTACATATCTCTGAATTCTTAACCCCATTCCCTGATTTTATTTCATTGTGTATGCCTAGCTACATTAAGACTGGATCATGTTGGACCTTCAGGCCCACCTCTTAGTCTTACCCTATCCATAGCCTTTAAGGCGCCTAAGCCAAACCAACCCTATGCCCTTTCTGATTACTCCTTAAGTAAGTTGTAACCTCGTCCCCAGGCTTTGCGGAAGTGTCTTATGAACGTGATTAGGCCAGTTGGGTCCTAGCCCCTTAAGCTACAGTTTATTATCCTGGTTGGGGCGCTTTACTTCTTAAGTGGGACTCTCTGTGACATTAGCATGATGCAGCAGCCACACAGACAGTACAGACCAGGGTTTCTGTTAGCTGGTAATTGCCGGCTTTTGGACGATAAAAAAAAACGACAAATAAAAAATAGTTGCCGGCCAAAATGACCAGGAGAAAAAAAATCCCTTTGCAAAATAATGATTTTTATTTATTTATGAAAATACCATCAAACCCTTGACCATCGTGCTTATCGGTCTATAGGTTAATTTACATATTTATTAAATTGGTCTGTGTGTATTTTCGTTAGTCATCATGCATTTTATTTATCCAACACAACTATCACACGCGCACAGCATACAGAGCCTATTTTGAGCTGGATTTATCCTGCAGCTCCTCAGCTGGTTGCTTTTGTTGGAGTAAAACATACTTTTATAAGCCCAATCATTGTGCAAGAATTCTAAATGCAATGGCATGTTAAATGCAATGGCGTGTTAAAAAAGGTTTTGGTGCACTATTAAAAACAGCTACTACAGTGGGGAAAAAAAGTATTTAGTCAGCCACCAATTGTGCAAGTTCTCCCACTTAAAAAGATGAGAGGCCTGTAATTTTCATCATAGGTACACGTCAACTATGACAGACAAATTGAGAAAAAAAATCCAGAAAATCACATTGTAGGATTTTTTATGAATTTATTTGCAAATTATGGTGGAAAATAAGTATTTGGTCACCTACAAACAAGCAAGATTTCTGGCTCTCACAGACCTGTAACTTCTTCTTTAAGAGTCTCCTCTGTCCTCCACTCGTTACCTGTATTAATGGCACCTGTTTGAACTTGTTATCAGTATAAAAGACACCTGTCCACAACCTCAAACAGTCACACTCCAAACTCCACTATGGCCAAGACCAAAGAGCTGTCAAAGGACACCAGAAACTAAATTGTAGACCTGCATCAGGCTGGGAAGACTGAATCTGCAATAGGTAAGCAGCTTGGTTTGAAGAAATCAACTGTGGGAGCAATTATTAGGAAATGGAAGACATACAAGACCACTGATAATCTCCCTCGATCAGGGGCTCCACGCAAGATCTCACCCCGTGGGGTCAAAATGATCACAATAACGGTGAGCAAAAATCCCAGAACCACACGGGGGGACCTAGTGAATGACCTGCAGAGAGCTGGGACCAAAGTAACAAAGCCTACCATCAGTAACACACTACGCCGCCAGGGACTCAAATCCTGCAGTGCAAGACGTGTCCCCCTGCTTAAGCCAGTACATGTCCAGGCCCGTCTGAAGTTTGCTAGAGTGCATTTGGATGATCCAGAAGAGGATTGGGAGAATGTCATATGGTCAGATGAAACCAAAATAGAACTTTTTGGTAAAAACTCAACTCGTCGTGTTTGGAGGACAAAGAATGCTGAGTTGCATCCAAAGAACACCATACCTACTGTGAAGCATGGGGGTGGAAACATCATGCTTTGGGGCTGTTTTTCTGCAAAGGGACCAGGACGACTGATCCGTGTAAAGGAAAGAATGAATGGGGCCATGTATCGTGAGATTTTGAGTGAAAACCTCCTTCCATCAGCAAGGGCATTGAAGATGAAACGTGGCTGGGTCTTTCAGCATGACAATGATCCCAAACACACCGCCCGGGCAACGAAGGAGTGGCTTCGTAAGAAGCATTTCAAGGTCCTGGAGTGGCCTAGCCAGTCTCCAGATCTCAACCCCATAGAAAATCTTTGGAGGGAGTTGAAAGTCCGTGTTGCCCAGCGACAGCCCCAAAACATCACTGCTCTAGAGGAGATCTGCATGGAGGAATGGGCCAAAATACCAGCAACAGTGTGTGAAAACCTTGTGAAGACTTACAGAAAACATTTGACCTGTGTCATTGCCAACAAAGGGTATATAACAAAGAATTTAGAAACTTTTGTTATTGACCAAATACTTATTTTCCACCATAATTTGCAAATAAATTCATTAAAAATCCTACAATGTGATTTTCTGGATTTTTTTTATTTATTTTGTCTGTCATAGTTGACGTGTACCTATGATGAAAATTACAGGCCTCTCATCTTTTTAAGTGGGAGAACTTGCACAATTGGTGGCTGACTAAATACTTTTTTTCCCCACTGTATTTGTATTTCTCAACTGGTAATTGAACAGCGCCTCCCATTCACAATTCAAGCGCAGGCAACAAGCGAGTCACCCACCACTTTACAATGTGAGCTGGAGAAAGTATGCATTTTGAAAACATACTTAAATTGTTTGAAACCTGAATTGTATAAAAGACTTCATAGCCACGTGAGTTTAAAGTTTGGGGAAGCTTACAATTTATCCTATTATTTATACCGTTCTGCATGCCAGTTATGATATGCACACGCGCATTTGTGGAAGAGTTTCATTCCAATAATAACGTTTTTGTTCGTCAAAATCATTGTCATGTGGTTAATCATAAAAATCTGAATTAAAATGAAAAAAATCTCAAAGCTGAAAGTCAACTAATGCCAGATCACCAGTCTCTGCCATAACGACACATTGATACACATGGAACTCATAGCCTATAGGCCAATGCAGCAGTAGGCCTATAACTTCCATTGCTCTTTCACACCAAGGATTGGTGATTATCGATGGGGAGATTGTTGGAAAGATTTTTCAATAAGTTTACTTTAAGGAAATATAGTTTTAATATATTATCATTCGCCATGGATGTTAAAAAAATACTTTCCTACATTTCCGCGCAGCAGGACAGGACTATGCACGCTCAGGCACGCGCACTCCCTCAACATTATCAGGACAGAGAAACCAGACACATGCTCATTGCTCACATGGAGCACTGCAAACCAAAGACCTTTAGATGCTTTTTGGCAAACTCCAAGCGGGCTGTCATGTGCCATTTACTGATGAGTGGCTTTCATCTGGCCACTCTACCATAAAGGCCTGATTGGTGGAGTGCTGCAGAGATGGTTGTCCTTCTGGAAGGTTGTCCCATCTCCATAGAGGAACTCTGGAGTTCTTTCAGAGTGACCATCGGGTTCTTGGTCACCTCCCTGACCAAGGCCCTTCTCCCACGATTGCTCAGTTTGGCCGGGCGGCCAGCTCTAGGAAGTCTTGGTAGTTCCAAACTTCTTCCATGTACACTATCCCAGATCTGTGCCTCGACAAAATCCTGTCTCGGAGCTCTACAGACAACCCCTTCGACATCATGGCTTGGTTTTAGCTCTGACATGCACTGTCAACTGTGGGACCTTATATAGACAGGTGTGTGCCTTTCCAAATCATGTCCAATCGATTGAATTTACCACAGGTGGACTCCAATCAAGTTGTAGAAAAATCTCAAGGATGATCAACGGATGCACCTGAGCTCAATTTCAAGTCTCATAGCAAAGGGTCTGAATACTAAATAAGTATATATACACTACCAGTCAAAAGATTGGACATACCTACTCATTCAAGGGTTATTCTTTATTTTATTTTTTATGTTTAAATTGTAGAATAATAGTGAAGACATCAAAACTATGAAATAACACATATGGAATCATGTAGTAACCATAAAACTGTTAAACAAATCAAAATGTATTTGAGATTCTTAAAATAGCCACCCTTTGCCTTGACAGCTTTGCACACTCTTGGCATTCTCTCAACCAGCTTCATGAGGTAGTCACCTGGAATGCATTTCAATTAACAGGTGTGCCTTGTTAAAAGTGAATTTGTGAAATTTCTTTCCTTCTAAATGTGTTTGAGCCAATCAGTTGTGTTGTGACAAGGTATACAGAAGATAGTCCTATTTGGTAAAAGACCAAGTCCATATTATGGCAAGAACAGCTCAAATAAGCAAAAAGAAACTACAGTCAATCATTACTTTAAGACATGAAGGTCAGTCAATCCGGAAAATTGCAGTCGCAAAAACCATATACCGCTCTGATGAAACTGGCGCTCATGAGGACCGCCACAGGAATGAAAGACCCAGAGTTACCTCTGCTGCAGACGATAAGTTCATTAGAGTTAAATGCACCTCAGAAATTGCAGCCCAAATAAATGCTTCACAGAGTTCAAGTAACAGACATCAACATCAACTGTTCAGAGGGGACTGTGTGAATCAGGACTTCATGGTTGAATTGCTGCAAAAACCACTACCAAAGGACACCAATAATAAGAAGAGACCTGCTTGGGCCAAGAATCATGAGTAATGGACATTAGACTGGTGGAAATTTGTCCTTTGGTCTGGAGTCCAAATTTGAGATTTTTGGTTCCATCCGCCGTGTCTTTATGAGACGCAGAGTAGGTGAACGGATGATCTCCGAATGTGTGGTTCCCACTGTGAAGCATGGAGGAGGAGGTGTGATGTGTGGGGGTGCTTTGCTGGTGACACTGTCAGTGATTTATTTCGAATTCAAAGCACACTTAACCAGCATGGCTATCACAGCATTCTGCAGCGATATGCCATCTGGTTTGCGCTTAGTGGGACTATCATTTGTTTTTCAACAGGACAATGACCCAGATGACCTGGCCTACACAAATCACCCGACCTCAACCCAATTGAGATGTTTTGTGATGAGTTGGACCGCAGAGTGAAGGAAAAGCAGCCAACAAGTGCTCAGCATGTGGGAACTCCAAGACTGTTGGAAAAGCATTCCAGGCAAAGCTTGTTGAGAGAATGCCAAGAGTGTGCAAAGCTGTCATCAAGGCAAAGGGTGGCTAGTCTGAAGAATCTAAAATATATTTTGATTTGTTTAACACTTTTTTGGTTACTACATGATTCCATATGTGTTATTTCATCGTTTTGATGTCTTCACTATTATTCTACAATGTAGAAAATTGTAAAAATTAAGAAAAACCCTGGAATGAGTAGGGGAGTCCAAACTTTTGACTGGTACTGTACATGTAGGGAATAGGATGCCATTTGGAACACAGCCTCCCTCTCCCACCTCAATTCCCTCAACACTGGGCCTTTCTTTCCCTTCAATCATGTGAGAACCTCCATCACACTGCTTCACCAGATTCAGTAATCTTCTCCAACACAGGCCGAATGAGGTGGGAAGGTAGGGTCACAAACTCCCCAAGTGTTCCCCTGAATTCAAAATTGATTAAAATGAATTTCTCCTCACCCATCTACACACACACACAATACCCCATGACAAAATGTGCTTATTAATTGAAAATGAAATACAGAAATATCTAATTTACATAAGTACTCACACCCCTGAGTCAATACTTTGTTGAAGCACCTTTGGCAGCGATTACAGCTGTGAGTCTTTCTTAGTAAGTCTCTAAGAGCTTTCCATACCTGGATTGTGCAACATTTGAATAGCTACCCCATCTCTTTACCCCACATATACAATTACCTGTAAGTTCCACAGATTCAACCACAAAGACCAGAGGTTTTCCAATGCTCTTCTAAATTCTTCAAGCTCTGTCAAATTGGTTGTTGATCATTGCTAGACAACCATTTTCAGGTCTTGCCATATATTTTCAAATAGAATTAAGTCAAAACTGTAACTTGGCCACTCAGAAACATTCACTGTCTTCTTGGTAAGATTGTAGATTTGGCCTTGTATTTTAGGTTATTGTCCTGCTGAAAGGTGAATTCATCTCCCAGTGTCTGGTGGAAAGCAGACTCAACCAGGTTTTCCTATAGGATTTTGCCTGTGCTTAGCTCCATTCCGTTTCTTTTTTTATCCTGAAAGACTCCCCAGTCCTTAACGATTACAAGCATAACCGTTGACGCAGCCATCACTATGCTTGAAAATATGGAGTGGTACTCAGAAATGTGTTGTATTTGCCACAAACAAAAAATGTTGTATTCAGTACCAAAATGTAATTGCTTAGCCACATTTTTTGCAGTATTTATTTTTACCCATCTACCAATGGGTGCCCTTCTTTGCGAAGCATTGGAAAACCTCTCTGGTCTTTGTGGTTGAATCTGTGGAACTTACAGGTAATTGTATATGTGGGGTAAAGAGATGGGGTAGCTATTCAAAAATCATGTCAAACACTATTATTGCACACAGTGAATCGATGCAACTTATTATGTGACATTTTCACTCCTGAACTTATTTAGGCTTGCCATATGAAAAGGGGTTGAATACTTATCGACATTTAGACATTTCATTTTTAGTTTGTACAAATTTTTAAAAATACATAATTATACTTTGACATTATGGGGTAGTGTGTGTAGGCCAGTGACACAATCTAAATGTAATCAATTTTAAATTCAGGCCGTAAAACAACTACATTTGGAAAAAGTCAAGGGTTGTGAATACTTTCTGAAGGCAATGTACACCTTCAGAACTGGAAGGAGAGAGGTTGTGCTTTAGTGAACTCTTGCACCATTTAAAAAGACAACATTGTCAGACAAATACATGTTAGGCTAGTATTGACAGGGAACTGCAACATACAGCTGAGGAAAAAATTAAGAGACCACTGCAAAATTATCAGTTTCTCTGGTTTTACTATTTATAGGTATGTGTTTGGGTAAAAATAAAAATGTTGTTTTATTCTATAAACTACTGACAACATTTCTCCCAAATTCCAAATAACAATATTGTCATTTAGAGCATTTATTTGCAGAAAATGACAACTGGTCAAAATAACATAAAAGATGCAGTGTTGTCAGACCTCGAATAATGAAAAGAAAAGAAGTTCATGTTCATTTTTAAACAACACAATAGTAATGTTTTAACTTAGAAAGAGTTCAGAAATCAATATTTCATGGAATAACCCTGATTTTCAATCATAGCTTTCATGCGTCTTGGTATGCTCTCCACCAGTCTTTCACATTGATGTTGGGTGACTTTATGCCACTCCTGGCGCAAAATTTCAAGCAGCTCGGCTTTGTTTGATGGCTTGTGACCATCCATCTTCCTCTTGATCACATTCCAGAAGTTTTCAATGGGGTTCAGGTCTGGAGATTGGGCTGGCCATGACAGGGTCTTGATCTGGTGGTCCTCCATCCACACCTTGATTGACCTGGCTGTGTGGCATGGCGCATTGTCCTGCTGGAAAAACCAATCCTCAGAGTTGGGGAACAATGTCAGAGCAAAAGGAAGCAAGTTTTCTTCCAGGACAACCTTGTACGTGGCTTGATTCATGCTGAAGCACCCCCAGATAATCACTGATCCTCCACCAAATTTCACAGTGGGTGCGAGACACTGTGGCTTGTAGGCCTCTCCAGGTCTCAGTCTAACCATTAGACGACCAGGTGTTGGGCAAAGCTGGAAATTGGACTCATCAGAGAAGATGACCTTACTCCAGTCCTCTACGGTCCAATCCTTATGGTCTTTTGCAAACATCAGCCTGGCTATTCTTTGCTTCTCATTGATGAAGGGCTTTTTTCTAGCTTTGCACGACTTCAGCCCTGCCCCTAAGAGCCTGTTTTGAACCATCCTCACCGTGCACTTCATCCCAGCTGCCATTTGCCATTATTTTTGTAGGTCACTCGATGTCATCCTACGGTTGTTGAGTGACATTCGAATGAGTTGGTGGTCATCCCAGTCAGTAGAGAGTCATTTTCGCCCTCTGCCGGTCTGTAGCTTTGTTGTCCCCAATGTCTGCTGCTTGACCTTGCTCTTATGAACTGCCGTCTTTGAAATTTTAAGGATGGAAGTAACCTGACGCTCACTGTATCACTCTGCCAGTAAAGCCATAATTGGACCCTTCTTTTCCTCACTCAAAACTTTCCTTTTCAACTCTTTTGGCATGGTCAATAGTGATTTTTTGATTAATATTACTTTTAACGGTACTATTAGCACCGTTTTTGCCATCCAGCTGGTCCTAATGCAAGCAGATAGTGATGACCACAGCAGTGGTTTTTATACTTTTCCTCGTTAAATAAGATTTGGTTCATGTGATCACCTAATTCAGTAGAATGAGGTGTGCCTGTGTTGGAATTCAATAGACACTGGAATGGAAGTCACACATGTAGAGATGCTGATTTAAGAAAAATGTGCAGTGGTCTCTTAATTTTTTCCACAGCTGTATAGTGACAGTACCTAATCTCTCATGAACAGGCGCACGAAACTTCACTGTTACCGTAGCATCTGACGCAATTACGTGACATTTTAGTTCTGGGTTTCCGAGATTACACAGTACCTGATGTTGAGCAACAACACATGAGGACTATGAGAGAAGCAGCTAGAGGTCTGTGGTGTAATGGAATTACACCCAAACCAACACACACACAGGCTACATCTGTCAGAAATATAAGCCTGCTTCACCAGAGTACTGCAGTAGAAACACAATATAGCCGATACTCTGTAAACAATGAAGGATTTGCAATCTACAGACCAGAGGAGTATCTAAATACTGGATCATCTTAGTCACCCTTCTTTGTTGATGCAGATGACCACACAATGTGTACTGAACGTGTAGGTGTAGTGAATTACAATATCATCTATGGTCAGGAGATAAAGAAAACAGGAGGTATAGAAACAGCATGAATCACCAAGGCTTTCTCTTTCTTTCTGCGTATCATTCATTCCATCAGCATTCCCCACCTCCATCATCCACTGCCATGACCGTGCAAGATGTTGTTGTGACAGAAGATTGAATCACACAATTGTTTTCTCTCGCCCCTATCGGTCTCCTCTCCCAATCTGTGGCTCAAATGAGCATGGTTCATATACACTGCTCAAAAAAATTAAGGGAACACTTAAACAACACAATGTAACTCCAAGTCAATCACACTTCTGTGAAATCAAACTGTCCACTTAGGAAGCAACACTGATTGACAATAAATGTCACATGCAATTGTGCAAATGGAATAGACAACAGGTGGACATTATAGGCAATTAGCAAGACACCCCCAATGAAGGACTGGTTTTGCAGGTGGTGACCACAGACCACTCAGTTCCTATGCTTCCTGGCTGATGTTTTGGTCACTTTTGAATGCTGGTGGTGCTTTCACTCTAGTGGCTCAGGTAGTGCAGCTCATCCAGGATGGCACATCAATGCGAGCTGTGGCAAGAAGGTTTGCTGTGTCTGTCAGCGTAGTGTCCAGAGCATGGTGGCGCTACCAGGAGACAGGCCAGTACATCAGGAGACGTGGAGGAGGCCATAGGAGGGCAACAATCCAGCAGCAGGACTGCTACCTCCGCTTTTGTGCAAGGAGGAGCACTGCCAGAGCCCTGCAAAAGGACCTCCAGCAGGCCACAAATGTGCATGTGTCTGCTCAAACGGTCAGAAACAGACTCCATGAGGGTGGTATGAGGGCCCGACGTCCACAGGTGGGGGTTGTGCTTAGAGCCCAACACCGTGCAGGACGTTTGGCATTTGCCAGAGAACACCAAGATTGGCAAATTCGCCACTGGCGCCCTGTGCTCTTCACAGATGAAAGCAGGTTCACACTGAGCACATGTGACAGACGTGACAGAGTCTGGAGACGCCGTGGAGAACGTTCTGCTGCCTGCAACATCCTCCAGCATGACCGGTTTGGCGGTGGGTCAGTCATGGTGTGGCATTTCTTTGGGGGGCCGCACAGCCCTCCATGTGCTCGCCAGAGGTAGCCTGACTGCCATTAGGTACCGAGATGAGATCCTTAGACCCCTTGTGAGACCATATGCTGGTGCGGTTGGCCCTGGGTTCCTCCTAATGCAAGACAATGCTAGACCTCATGTGGCTGGAGTGTGTCAGCAGTTCCTGCAAGAGGAAGGCATTGATGCTATGGACTGGCCGGCCCGTTCCCCAGACCTGAATCCAATTGAGCACATCTGGGACATCATGTCTCGCTCCATCCACCAATGCCACGTTGCACCACAGACTGTACAGGAGTTGGCGGATGCTTTAGTCCAGGTCTGGGAGGAGATCCCTCATTGTAGGGAGGTCATACAGGCACGTGGAGGCCACACACACTACTGAGCCTCATTTTGACTTGTTTTAAGGACATTACATCAAAGTTGGATCAGCCTGTAGTGTGGTTTTCCACTTTAATTTTGAGGGTGACTCCAAATCCAGACCTCCATGGGTTGATAAATTAGATTTCCATTGATAATTTTTGTGTGATTTTGTCGTCAGCACATTCAACTATGTAAAGATAAAAGTATTTAATAAGATTATTTCATTCATTCAGATCTAGGATGTGTTATTTTAGTGTTCTCTTTATTTTTTTGAGCAGTGTATTTTGATGTGTTTCACAACATCACATTCTCTGTCACAGGCTGGAAGGAGGGAAAGGGCACTGCATGTCTCTGTTAATTAGACTTTGAGCCATTTCAAGGTCTCTCCCTTCAGGGTTTCTTCACCAATCCTTTGTGAGAAAGAGGCGAGGAGAGAAGATGCAAGGAATCGAAGAAAGATTAATTGAAAAAGAAGCCCATATTTCTTCCACCAGGAAGTGAAAGTCAGCTGCTGTCTTCACAAGCTGTTCCTGAGTTATTCTGGGACTGCATCTGCTGAATCCACAGAGTTCATGCTGATGGTTCAGCAGATTATATTTTGTTTTTTTAACCACCAATCACTCACCTTCTTTAAGGGCCTTGTCCACATTGTGTGATACCACCACTCTTCTCGTCTGTGCAGACTCCAAAAGGGGCACAGTGAATCGTATCTGCAAACATAACACAAAACTATTTCTAAATCGATCTTAAGTACAAAGAATGGAGTCCCAGTCGAAGGATACAATCGAACAATTTCAAACAGAAATTCCTAGATAACTAAATAGTTAACTGAATGGGCAGTGATGAGATGTCCAACCCAGACTTAGACAGGGAAAAGACAGAGGCAGTATTGAGCAACAAGGTTTCAAAACATATAGCCTAGGCTAATGCCCACCGTATTCTGCAGGAGAGACCAAATCAAGACAAAACACTGCCTATGCTTCAAAGGTCTGGCTGACTGTTGAAGCTATAGCCTACAACACAACATTATCATGTGTCATCATGCAGGACTGAAGAGCACAATGAATGCCTAGCTGTCTACTGCCTTCATCATAAATATCTCTGACCAAAAACTCAGTACTCAGTGTTCATAACAAGGACGATATGGAGGACAATTGGTTTATGACATGAACATGAATTAAAACCTATTCAGGATACTTACCATTAATTTGTTAAACAAGTCCAACAGGTATGCAGACTGTCTCTTTGAAGTTTCAAATCTGCTGATTTTAGGAGGACCCTTCTTCACGAGGAGACCAAAGCTTCCCAACAAGAAACACAGCAAGGCGAAGGATATATAAATAAAAATGTTCAGAAAAAATGACGTTACGGTGAGGCCCCCATATCCAAACTGAAAAAGTACTGCTGCGGCGACTCCCATGCAGATGGCGGGCAAGAAACGAAAAGATGAACCGATGGAAATAGCGCTAGACATGGGGGCATCGGTGCTGCTCCTGCCAGCAAAAAGCATGCTGCTGTCAATGACATCTCCTCAACACCGACAAGAGGACAGGCTTTGTGTTCCTCGCAGTTCGATCTTCATTCATAAGCATGGACCCATAGGGAGAGAAGGCACCCAGATATTGACGTGGGATATTGGACCAGGCTTAGACATGAAAAAAAAACATTCCCTTGCTGTTAGCCTTCTAAAGTTAGGTCCATTTGAAAGTCTGGGCTTTGACGTCATTCTATGGACCTAACTAGTCTGTTCTGTTGCTCGTGCCATCAGATTTGCATTGTAAATCAACAAGGTCCCGTTGTTCCATGTAAAACGAAATCTCAAACCTATCTAGTCAACTGGCTACTGTTCCTGCTAGCATTCTAGCTAGCTGGGTTAGTAAACTCGCTACCAAATGCAAAAAAAAAAAAAAGCTAGCATGCAAACGTATTAACATTAAATAACTTAGCTAGCGTTGCTTTTACACTCGACAAAGTCCGAAAGGTGGATAAGGCTTCTTTATTTAGCTAGCTAACTAGCTATGATATAAAAGGCTCTGTCCGCAGCTAACGTTAGCAAGCTTGCTTGCTAACACACTCATCAGCAATTAGCCAGCAGCTAGCTATTACGCTTGCTACCTGAAACAGACCTTTATCTCTATATTTAATCATTAATATACATATATATCAAAATGCCTCTGGTTGGAAAATGCGTATTTCTTTGTAGGCGACGGCAGGGGGCTTTGTTATCGAGCGCCCTCTATCTTTGGTTCGCGCTATCTGGGATCCTTGGGACGTCCCCCCCGTAGTTTAAATTTGAAGTGGTAGGGACGTCCCATGGGTCCGGAAGCAAACGGAAGAAACGAGGAGGGACCTATCTGAATTTGTCCAATAGAAACTCTCGTTTTAATTTTTTGGGGCAACTGATTGTACTAACGATTACACCCCAGGGTAAATTGTCCGACAGGGGTCACTGTCGAACAATCAGTCAGAAGTGTCCTTTCAACATTCTACAAGATTACAAAGGCAAAGAAGCCTTGTACGAACCATCCTGATGTTGTGTAGCGAAACAGAATGTAAGCTCGCGAGATCAGGATGAGGCTAAAAGGAAAGGGGATAATCATTAAAATATTATAAGGGGGTAATACACTTTTGTCTTTTAATTATTATACAGGCTGATCAAGTAAAGTACATTTAATTTCACGAATGATGCACATATAAGTATATTGAACTCTGTTGATATCTGCGTCATGAAAAAATTGACCTTTCTCTAATAATACTTTCAACAACTTATTTATGAATGAAGAAATTTAGTTTTTTTAGTTTTGTGAAGTGCTCTACTGCCACCATGTGTTCATCTTCAAGACAATCATTTCTACAGACAAAGGCTTATCATACAGTATCATAGTAATCATTAGGGGGGCAGGTAGCCTAGCAGTTAAGAGCGTTGGTCCAGTAACTGAAAGGTCGCTGGTTTGAATCCCTGAGCTGGCAAGGTGAAAAAATCTGCCATTTAGCTAGGCAGTTAATCCCCAACAACAACTGGTCCCGATGACGTGGATGTCGATTAAGGCAGGCAAATCCCCGCACCTCTCTGATTTAGAGGGGTTGGGTTAAATGCGGAAGACACATTTCAGAGGAATGTATTCAGTTGTGCAATTGACTAGGTATTTCCCAATATCCAGGCTCACATAGTCCAACTGAATAAAGATAGCTTTCATGATGCATTGTAAATCAAGCAAGGTCCTGGTGTTCAATGTAAAACATATCTAAACTGGCTACTGTAAACTCACTGCCAAATGCAAAAAAAGCAGCTAGCATGCACATATATTAACGTTAAATAACCTAGCTAGCGTTGCTTTTACAGCTCGACAAAGTCCGAAAGGTGGATAATGCTTCTTTATTTAGATAGCTAACTAGCTATGATCTAAAAGGCTCTGTCTGCAGCTAATGCATGGCAAACATTATTCTTGAACTTGGCACTGACCTAAAGAGAAGGAAAATCTGAGCTTTATGTTGTTTTTACATTGTTCACATAACTTCTACATTCCTGCCCAGTACCCTGCCCTGAACCTCAGACACTGTCACTAGCAGTCTACCACCAGGTAAAGAGTCATTGAACATTGGTCACTTAATGTTTACATACTGTTTAACCCAATTTATATGTACACTGAGTGTACAAAACAATAGAAAAATCTGCTCTTTCCATGACATTAACTGACCAAGTGAATCCAAGTGAAAGCTTTTGATCCCTTATTGATGTCAGCTGTTAAATCCAATTCAAATCAGTGTATATGAAGGGGAAGAGACAGGTTAAATAATTATTTTTATGTGTGCCATTCAGAGTGAATGGGCAAGACAAAATATTTAAGTGCCTTTTAATGGGGTATGGTAGTAGGTGCCAGGCGCATCGGTTTGAGTGTGTCTGCAACACTGTTGGGGTTCTCGCTCAACAGTTTCCCATGTGTATCAAGAATGGTCCACCACCCAAAGGACATCCAGCCAACTCAACATGGGCCAGCATCTCTGTTGAACGCTTTTGACACCTTGTAGAGTCCATGCCCCACCGAATTGAGGCTTTTGAGGGCAAAGGGGAGTGCAGCTCAATATTACGAATTGACATTGCTCATTCTGATATTTCTTAATTTCTTTCTTTTAACTTTTGGGATTATGTTTGGATTGTTTTGTATTGCTAGGTATTACTGCACTGTTGGAGCTACAAACACAAGCATTTCGCTGCACCTGCGATAACATCTTTAAATCTGCGATCAATAAACTTTGAAATAAACTTTGATTTTACTTGAATTGCTTTATTGTGAGTTCAAACATCACACTTTTGAATTACAGTACTTTCAATTACATTTGAGTTATTACTACAGCCACTAGCTTGTGCAACAGCTGAACAAAACAACTGCGTAAATGTTTCACACACGTGGTCATAAATTATAGGACATTGCTGACCTCTGTTAATCTGTGTCACTGTATTGAAACTTGAAAAACAGTCTATGGTGTAATATTGGAAATATTACAACACTGTAGTACCACAGGATTACAAAACAATATTTTTATTAAGATTTGCATGTTTATCCACAGGATTAAGAGTTGCCCCTGAATGTGCAGTGACACACTCAAACGTGTGTAAATGTATTTAGCAACTAATTTAAACACACAATTACATATATACACACACATTGTAAACTACAAGCATATACCGTTTCACATACAGTAGATGTCACAAATGCAGACATGTTGATAGAAAATATACATTTTTTCCTCGTGTCATGTAATTAACAATAAAAAAAAATGTAATCTAACAAATAACCAGAAATCTTTCATTTTGGGGGAAAAAATATACAAATTGTGTAATTGTCCACCTTAGATTAAAATGTACCTTTAAATAAAAATTATATATATATATATATATATATATATATATATATGCGCTTAAAAGGCATCTAGATAAATTACCAAGTGCATTTATTCACTTCATCCTTTTATCCAATGGATGGCATCTCCTTGAAGGCCAAAGACAAGGTTGCAAAGTGAGCCATAGATAAGCAAGGCCTCTACTATGGCTTCAGCTTTGCTGCCAGTGTACACACATACACACCCAGAGTTGCCAGGCACATCCCATCAGTACTTTCCATAAGGTGCAGAAGCGGTTTGCCATTACGCAGACAAATTAGTATGTACATTATTAACATTTACATTTACATTTTAGTCATTTAGCAGACGCTCTTATCCAGAGCGACTTACATATCTTTTTTTTTATACTGGCCCCCCGTGGGAATCGAACCCACAACCCTGGCGTTGCAAACGCCATGCTCTATCAACTGAGCTACATCCCTGCCGGCCATTCCCTCCCCTACCCTGGACGACGCTGGGCCAATTGTGCGCCGCCCATGAGTCTCCCGGTCGCGGCCGGCTGCGACAGAGCCTGGATTCGAACCAGGATCTCTAGTGGCACAGTTAGCACTGCGATGCAGTGCCTTAGACCACTGCGCCACTCAGGATTAACTCAGTCTACCACCATTAACAGTGGACGAAGAGTGGGAGAGATGCCCAACAAATATTTTCACAGTTTGTAGATTCATTCCCTCCCTGAGATCTTGGGAGGTTCAGTTTGGGCATCAATCCATATTCTACAGCTCACAGAGCCCCGTACACCTATACTGTACTGTATGTCCCAGTCATTCCTATGAGTAGGCACTCTGGTCGAACAAGAAGGCCAGCAGTGATCAATGCTTTTCCACCCCAAGCCTGCCACTGACTGGCCCATATCTTGAGTCACTGCACTGCCAGGGCTTCAGCAGGTCTTGACAGAGGACTTAGAGATGTCTGAGGTCTTCATGATAACGCTGGCTCGGGTCTCTGCAGCAGAGGCCTGGCTGGAGGAAGCCTGCTCTGAGGGAGGGTGCTGGGCTGCTGGAATGTCCCTTTTCCAGGGGCTGTTGCTGTAGCTGATGAGGGGCATGGGGTCCCTGGTGCTGGTCACTTTGAAGGTGGTTACCTTTCCAGAAGTGACAAAGGTGGCCATGCTGGGTAGTGAGCACGAGGGCACTCTCAGCACAGAGGAAGCTAAACTTGATCCCCACAGCCCACCATGAAGATGCTGCAAGTCACAGTGAAGGTCGGTTTAATTCAGCCATAACCATTCAAACACTTATTTCAGGATATATCTGAATATAGATTTGGCTACTAGCATATTTCTTAACATGTATAGTAGTCTGTTTGTGGAATCTTCATAAACCATTGACAGCATTAGAAGAGGGAATTTCATTGACACTAACCACGTTTCCATCCACAGTTTTCATGCGAGTAAAGTCATACCATATAAAAAAAAAATCACAACAGCTGTGATGGAAACAGGAAGTTTGGATACAATTTTATAAATGCTGAGAGATAATCTGTTCATTCGACATGGTGGGATCTTATTGTGTCGGTAAAATGTATTATGCGAGAAATGGCGGTGGAAACACCTTTATGCGCAAATACTGACATAATAACCATCATATTGAAGCAAACTTGGAGTCACGCAATGATATGGTGTGTGGTCCTCCCACTACGACTCAGGAAACCATGCAGTTTATTAGACTACAGATGAAGTAGACCTTAGTTATGATGAAGTAGACCTAAGTTATTTTTTTAAATTTTTTAGTCATTTAGCAGACGCTCTTATCCAGAGCGACTTACAGTTAGTGAGTGCATAATAAAAAATAAAAAAATATCATACTGGCCCCCCGTGGGAATCGAACCCACAACCGTGGCGTTGTAAACGCCATGCTCTACCAACTGAGCTACATCTCTGCCGGCCATTCCCTCCCCTAACCTGGACGACGCTGGGCCAATTGTGCACCGCCCCATGGGTCTCCCGGTCGCGGCTGGCTACGACAGAGCCTGGATTCAAACCAGGATCTCTAGTGGTACAGCTAGCACTGCGATGCAGTGCCTTAGACCACTGCGCCACTCGGGAGGCTAATGATGTTATGATGAACTTCACAGCGTGTTGAAATTGCACGCTATGAATTTGATGTGCCTTTCCAATAAATATCGAGGGTCTTATTCTGGTGACATGTTGATCGATGCTTGACTGCCGTTTGACAAATACAAATATTCTCGCTCGTATCCATAATAATCTCATCATGTCGACTAGCCTACCCGCACTGTATCTGTGAGCTGTTGGTTAGAGCTCATGTGCCAAGGCCAGAGTAGGTACATTTGCTATTTAACACAACACTTTTTGTGACAAAACTATCGGTAAAGTTGAAAATGCGAATGAAACACATTGAACTTTAGATTTTCATTCAGTACATGAAAACTTAAGAGAAAATTTACATTTTGTGTGCACATTTTCTTTTGTGGATTTTAGAATATTCGCATGAAAATCGGTCACCAATTGGATGGAAATCTACCTATAGCAAGTTTTGCAAAACACGTGGCATATTTACCAATTAAAATCTATTACTGTAACCTGAACACATTGACAAGCACATGTAAATATTGTCATGTTTATAAGCACTGTAGAACTTGGTCTTAATACTTTCTAACATGCTTGTAAACTGCTCTTCCTGCTGTTGAGCTCTGCATGATTCATCTATACTAAGGAACCTCATCTCCCCCCTCTTCACCCATGGACACACACACACGTGTGTGTGTGCAGCATCACATTTCCTCTTCCAGCTCAATGTATGCAAGATATTCTACAAGTAATTATGTATTCAAACAAGAGAACACTACAATTCAAAACGCAACAACAGTTGAGAAATAAAGAATGACATTCTGTTGAATTCTGTAACTGTTTGTGCCTTGATTTGTGATTGGGCTTGTTTTGAGGACAATTCACTACATTTGGTTTAATCATTAGCCAGGGACAAAAGTGAATCCGGTATTCACCAGAGAGCTGCCTTCTGTTTTTTGTCTTTCTTTACGTCAGAGCGCTCAAGAACAGGAACTGACAATATGGGCTGGGCTAGTGGTATAAGTAAAAGGGACAGTACCACCATGCTACAGTTACAATACTCTTACTACTGTAAAGCAGTAGAACTGGCTAATGTAATGAACTCAAAAGTGAAGGTTTGTTTATCTTTTGATAGGGCAGGGTTAATGATTCAGCTGTCTGTACAGTATGTGTCTGTGTACCCAGGCAGGCCCAGTCATGCCACTCAGCCCTATTGGAATAAGCTAATTCTGCTAGCTAAGTGCCCTTCCCTTGGCTTAGAGAACAGACCAGCTACAATGGCACCATAAAACAAAGCTATCACTCTGTGCTGCAAGCACTCCATAAAGGCACACAGGCTCAAAATCAAAGGCTTCTGTGTCTTCTGTGTGTCAGCTCATGCTTTTTACTACCTTTCCAATCTTACAAAATAATCTAGCTGTCTTGAATGATTATTAGGCTAACATAATGGTTAGGAGGCCATTTTTTTGTCCTTACCTCCTTACAGTCCTCTTCACTGTGCACACTGTCTGTGTCACTCTCTGTAAAGCAGAACAGAAAGAACAACCATGAAAACCCATAACTCAGGGATTTCCAGACTAACAGGTTGGAGAAGGATGGGCATAGGAAAGAATGTCAGAGTTTTAAAATGTTAAATGACAATAGGCTTATCTGCTACCATCAGTGATGAACTCTAGCGAACTTCTATACATAATCATTGTAGAGATCATATTGTATGCTTCACCAAATACTAAACATGCAGTAATAGAGTAGTTATATCATACTATATGTAACTTTACACATCAGGCAGATCAATATCAACTGAACCATATACAGTATCAATTTAAGCATACACATACAGAAAAAAACTGTATATATATGCATAAATCCAAGCTCATATTCTGAGTTAAACTTTCTGTGTTAATGCTACTCCCAAGCAACATATTAACTTATTCTACAGTAATATCATGAGCAGGTTGAATGACAGTGGTGATGTATCCATGTTTATGATAACGAGCACTGGCCTGGCCTTGAGCTTATGATAACGAGCACTGGCCTGGCCTGGCCTTGAGCAACAGGGAAGCCATAAACCCTCATAGACATTAAACAATACACCACAGTACTATACTATCTAGACTGAATAAAGGTTCAAAGGTTTCAATTTTACTTGGCATTTCAAATGGAGGTGATAGTGTGCCTTGCAAGTCGCAGGCATACCATGGTGTTCGAAAATATAGTGGCACCAATCAATTTATTCACCTGGCGTACGTTAGAATTACAATGTGATTGTAGTGACATTCTAATCATTCACATCTCTTTAAAATCTTGTTCATCGCTGCTCTGAACTACAGGAATTCTACCATTATTAACACCTATGATGGGTACTGATGTGAGTTCCAAGCAACCCTGTCTGTTGTGTTAAGGCATGGGTTGGGATGGAGTGGGAGGATTTAGGGGGTGTGGACTGACCTCCATACGAGGACACAGGGGAGATCTGGAGTGGGTACGTTTGGCTGGAGCTGACCGACTGCTCCTCATTCTCCGTGGTCACCTCGATGGTCTGACACACATATGGTAGGTCATCGATGATCAGCTGGTCGTCACCAGGGCTGCGGCTGCCCAGATGAAGATATTCTGAGGAAGCGCAAGATAATCCCTGGTTATAAATTTGTCCTCCTGTGGAAAGCCTAAGCAATTTACTCACAGTTATAAGCATAAGACATTAGTAAATGAGTAACTATTATACAAGTTCATAATAACATTCCTTGTCACTACTCCTGTTGTGCTCTCTTAATCGTCTACCGCACAACATCAATTCAATTGATTACAGGTGGACACAAACACTGATGCCAAAGCTCTTACCTGTGCAGTCTGTAATGTACTCCTCTTTCACTTCCTCCTTCACCACCACCTTCACCACCGGCCCTTCATGGTCTTCAACAAACCCATTCATGCTCTCCATGGATGAGGATGTGGGCTCCACTTGCTGCTGGGGTGACAGAGGCAGAGAGGTGTGGGCATCTCTTTCCATCCTCACTGGAGGTCTGTCATGCTTGCGAATACGATTTTACATTTGCTAAGTAAAATTATCAATTTAAAAGAATGGTTTGAATGTGCAATTGAATAGTTATGCACTGAGGTCTTCTGTGTCAACACACAATAGTTATTACCTTGTTCTTTCCCTCTTGTTCACTCATTTTCTTTCCTAGAAAACACATCAACATGACATTCCACTTTTAAAAAGGTGCACACAAATTAATATATTTCAGTGTGTCAATTTCAAGCATATGGAACCGCCTCAGCGAGAAGAACAACTAGATAATCAAACTGTTGATTGCTAATATTTAAAAAAATATATATAATTGTACCTTTATTTAACTAGGCAAGTCAGTTAAGAACAAATTCTTATTTACAATGACGACCTAAACCGGCCAAACCCGGACGACGCTGTGCCAATTGTGCGCTGCCCTATGGGACTCCCAATCACGGCCGGTTGTGATACAGCCTGGAATCGAACCAGGGGGGTCTGTAGTGACGCCTCAAGCACTGAGATGCAGTGCCTTAGACCACTGCGCCACTCGGGAGCCCAGTGATAGGATAATATCGACAACATTAACAAATGTGCATCAATTCCCTACGTTATCAAGTGTTAATAACATATGAAACCGTGCTTACAGCCCATATTATACATGAAATTAACTTGAATGAAAAACTGGCTAGTGGCTACATCGTAAAGCCATAAGTGTTATCCTCTCTGGAAGCTGATCTGTAATTCGGTCTCTGCCATTTCTAATTCAATCATTGTTCTTTCAGAGCTAGAGAGATAACCACTTGCCTTTCTTGGTCTGGCGCTCTGACGCAGACAGCATCTTGTATACTCTGAAAGCGTTGGTTCCCTTCTTGATGCTCTTGTCTTTCACCTCCTCAATATCAGGCAGAGAGTTCATTGCACAGCGGAAATTGGCCTTCCATGTTTTCGGGTCTGGTTTGTCGATCCCTAGTTGGTATTTTCCTGAATAGAAAAAAACACTTATTAGGGGAAGGCCATACTGCAGCATAAACTTGAGTCATAACACTGATCCTAACACATAACAGTGGCATTGGTAATGTAACATACTGTGTATTGTTGGCCATTTCTTATCATTTTATTTTCATAACTGTACCTGTATGGATGGCCCAGTTCTTGAATAAAGGAGCATCTTTTTCCAAATCCCAGCCATGTCTTGCAGCATGCATCCATGGAATCTGGAAGATCCTCTTCTCCTGCAGGTTCATTACAACAACGATTCAGACATTTATGACTTGGCTAACACATTACACACATCTTGCGTAATTTGGTCAGCTGCGTGATTAATCGCCCCACGTCCAAATAAATCAGTGACCAAAACCCAAACACTTGAATTACTGCTGCTTGTTATCCTATGCATTCCACAAGAGATTAAGATGAGTCCATAGACTGCTTACAAGGTAAGGAAACAAATATCCGAATACATTATTTCGCTGAACTATCCCATTATGTTTAAAGAGTTACTTCCTTTAAAGGCCCGGTAAAGGTGCTGCCAAATAAAGTAATATGTGAAAATAGTCTGTTTTTAAAAGACTGAAGCACTGGAAGCATTTCAAGGTTATACAGTGCATTCAGAAAGAATTCAGACCCCTTCACTTTTTCCACATTTTGTTACATTACAGCCTTATTATAAAATTGATAAAATTGTTTTTGTCCCTCATCAATCAACACACAATACCCCATAATGACAAAGCATAAACAGGTTTTTAGAAATGTTTGCAAAAAAATTAAATATATAACTTAAATATCAGCCTTGAGTCTTCTTGGGTATGACGCTACAAGCTTGGCACACCAGTATTTAGGGAGTTTCTCCCATTCTTCTCTGCAGATCCTCTCAAGCTCTGTCAGGCCAAAGAGTTCAATCTTGGTTTCATCAGACCAGATAATCTTGTTTCTTATGGTCTGACAGTCCTTTAGGTGCCTTTTGGCAAACTCCAAGCAGGCTGTCATGTGCCTTTTACTGAAGAGTGGCTTCCGTCCGGTTGGTGGAGTGCTGCAGAGATGGTTGTTCTTCTGGAAGGTTCTCCCATCTCCAAAGAGGAACTCTGGAGCTCTGTCAGAGTGACCATCGGGTTCTTGGTCACCTCCCTGACCAAGGCCCTTCTCCCCCGATTGCACAGTTTGGCCGGGCGGCCAGCTCTATGAAGAGTCTTGGTGGTTCCAAACTTCTTCCATATAAGAGTGATGGAGGCCACTGTGTTCTTTGGGACCTTCAATGCTGCAGACATTTTTTGGTACCCTTCCCCAGATCTGTGCCTTGACACAATCCTTTCTCTGAGCTCTACGAACAATTCCTTCGACCTCATGGCTTGATTTTTGCTCTGACAACTGTGGGACCTTATATAGATAGGTGTGTGCCTTTCCAAATCATGTCCAATCAATTTAATTTACCACAGCACCTGAGCTCAATTTCGAGTTTCATAGGGTTTGTCATTATGGGGTATTGTGTGTAGATTGATGAGGATTTTTATTTATTTAATCAATTTTAGAATAAGGCTGTAACATAACAAAATGTGGAAAAAGTGAAGGGTCTGTATACTTTCCGAATGCACTGTATATGCAACATTTATACCTGCAAATAATTTCTACCTCAATCACATATCAGTAGTAATGAAGGAATAAAAATCCACTGAAGAAAAACTGTCCGTTCTGGCTAGCTGTTGTATGTAGGCTAGAGCTCCCTGTTTTATAATTAGTTCGCGTTTGCGAGGTTGACAACATTAGCAAAACATTTACATTACAACTCTTCCTTAAGTCCTTGCAACAGTTGCTTCACAACAGTTTTTGTTAATAAAATGTTTGATATATTTATTTTAACATCCTGTGTTGTGTGCTTATTATTTTACCATTGATAGGTTCTAGGCTATTTTGAGACCTTAAGGAAGATCAGGTACTACTGGAATACCTACTATTGACATGTCCACATTTATAAAGTATTTATAAAGTAGAAATAGCCCACACTTTAGATGGAAATAACTAATGATTAGTCAATGGTTTATAAGGACCTAAAGTATATTAAACATCTTATGCATGGAGTAATGATAAATAAATGATGAATAAACTATTTACTAATTCATTATAAATGCTTTATTACATGGAGTTATTATAAAGTGCTACTCAAAAAAGTTGACAAAGAATATAGTAACATGCTGTTTACATGCCTGTTTGTGTTCCTATATGATGGAGGGGTTATGTTGGTGGGTTTGGTAACAATTGTTGCTTCAGCAAAGCTTGAAAACCAGGTACAGTATAAACTTAGAATGTGGTGAACTTCCATACTGAGGCAAACTCAGTGTCTCAATAAAGATACATTTCACTTACTCTATTAACCCATTTCAGCCCAGGAATTAGGCAAGAGTTTATCTGTTCCTCCAACCATGGCCGCATTCGCATCCTCTCCACGGGCATGGTGGCCTGCAGACACAGAGCAAGGAGGAGGAGATAAACTGTGAATTGAATGAATGAACCCTTCCCTTCACTTCCTGAAGACAGCAACAGATCAGAAAACATCTGAGACCAATAGGCCCATTTGGGGGTTGACAACTCTCTGAGCTTATCAGCAACATCTGATCTCATTTGCTTACTACACAGCAGAACCCAGTGCCAGACCACATCTATTACAGAGGGGCCACAACAACACACAAGAATAGGTTCAGAGGTGTTATATAACATGTCAAACTGTACTCTGTTGATGTGTAATAAGGTGTTAATGAAATTTGAAAATAGGTTAAAGGTGCACATTAGGCTTGTGATGACCATGATCCCTAGTTATTGCTGCATGTAGAGGAATCAGGTTAGTGATCAAGGTCCACTCCAACAAAATGTAACAAACTCCTAAACCAATAAACTGTAACAGGATATGAGAATGTTACTTGAATATATGCATATTGGGTTTTTCATACATATTCTGTAAAAAAAATTAAGCCAATAAAATAACGAACTCATTTAGTTAACCCTGCAGTTGTAGCCTAGTAGTAGTGTAATTTACCAGGACCAAGCTTGTTCCAATTCCATTATACTTCCAATTTCTTTCTGAGCCTGATAATAACATACACAATGTAAAAGAGAACTACCTGTAAATGGTTACTTCAATTGTTTTTATCGACATTCTGGTGAGTTATACGCCACAGTTGGCAACAAATATACATTTCATCCGTCTCGCCTAGTCACGCTGTGGCCAAAACTGACAGCTGTGCAAGTTCAAGTTAACCAGAAAGCTGGCTGAAATGTCAACCCAAAAGTGAAAATAAACTTCATTCCATGTCAGATTGACGGTTGCCCATGATCGGATCAACATTCTATTACTTTCGATTAGGGTTTACAATGTCGCTTCATGAGTCTATGGATACATAACTCTTCAGCAAAAAGAACATGCGGAAACGTTACCTGCGATAAAGTGTTCTATTCAACTCTTGCCAGTCGCAAAGTTATCCCCGTGTAGTTTGTGATTTTGTATACCAAAATGAAAACTATTAGCCTATTTCAGTGTCCAGATCGAAAGCAAAACAAATAAAGGAAGTGCTTTGCGTGGAAATCCCCTCCCGAAATGTTTGTTTCACGTCCCCTGAACATAGATTGCGCTGTACGTACGGGGTTATGGAGCACGGAAGTCGTGCTCATTGGTCTACGGCTAAGCCTCTGCAATGGACAGCTCAATTTCCTTTTCACTTCCTCAAACCTCATCTGGTTGGATTCCAGCGTGCTAGGCTAGTGGCCAATCCTCAAACAGGGTTTTAGTTTTTGAGATGCCCCTACCCTAGGTATAACAAAGCACAACCAGTGGCGATTTGAGCATGTAAATCTTGGTTGGGCAAACAAAACAACAGAAGTGGGATGCATGCCAGCAAAGCCACTACACAACACAACACTAAACAATACATTAATTGCACTAGAATGGTGACAAACGGTGCCCACAAACTGTTAGGGCCTACATAAAGTTGGCCCAACAGCAGTCCCAACATTTTACCACTGCTACACCTGGCTATCAGCGGAGACTTGTCTGGCAGCGAAACAGTTCATTCAGCCTCATTTACTTCCTTAAAAAAAAGCATGACTGATATGGCTGACTTGCTTAAACAAATGTGGTTTCTAATGACAATTGAGATGTACAAACTATGGCATAAGGGGAGGACAAGCGGATAAGAGGCAATCCGTAATTTCGATTAAGACATTAATGAGCGAGCCAGGACGGACCTAGTCAATATGACTCTTTGTTTAGCACTTTTGAAATGTACAGCGACAGAATTCAGAACATGGGCCGTTCTTACAGTTCTCCCTGTACACCAAGTCAGAACTGTAGGATAAATAAAGCGGGCATATAAGCAGACAATGAAAGCTCTTACAATATTTGATGATTACATTTCTCTAAAACAGGTTAAAGGCTACATGTGCACCACCAAGTCAGAACAGTAGGCGAAATTAAGGGGGGTAAATAGACCAAATTATTAGGGTGAGGCACATGGGCTACTAACAGCTTACTACACAACATACACTTAGTATTACTTTCTTAGCTACAGTATACATATCTCCCTGGCATATTACATCATTTATGCAGCAGCATACAATACATTTTTGGACTCACCGTGTTGTGCTGTCCTCACTTGAACAGGAAGGTGGCGCGGCGGTCCTTCGTGGGCAAATTTTGTTCGTGGGCAATATGACTGCCACATTACCACTAAATGGTGGTTTAATCAACTGTATATGTACACGTTTTAAATTAGATTTTTTTCTGATTTGTGTACTGTACTTATGACTGTACTCAATACTATTTCTGTTTACTTTAATTATGTTAGGAATCCAATATGCCCACCATATACACCCAAACACCTTTGTCTGGATATATAAAAAGGCAGCACACTGCTTGGCAAGGAAACACCAAGTATTCCAAATCACTAACCTCTTTGAGGATCAATGAGGCAACTGGGAGGCTCCAACAAAAGGAAAGAGAATCCAACCTCTCCCTAGCTGTACAACTTGCCCCTACTGTGGTATAACTTGCCCCTCCAGGATTGGGCTCTGAAGTTACCTCATCATTTATAATGAACAAAAATATAAACGCAACAGCTGACTGCAGGAATGTCCACCAGAGCTGTTTCCAGAGAATGTAATGTTAATTTCTCTTCCATAGAGAATTTGGCAGTACATCCAACCGGCCTCCTCACCGCAGACCAGGTGCATGGCGTTGTGTGGGTAAGCAGTTGGCTGATGTCAACGTATTGGACAGAGTGCCCCATGGTGGGGTTATGGTGTGGGCAGGCATAAGCTATGGACAATGAACACAATTGCATTTTATCGATGGCAATTTGAATGCACAAAATTACCGTGACGAAATCCTGTGGCCCATTGTGAGGCCCAATTTCTTTCACATGATTAAGGTACCTGTAACCAACAGATGCATATCTGTATTCCCAGTCATGTGAAATCCATAGATTAGTGCCTAATGAATTTATTTAAATTGACTGATTTCCTCATATGAACTGTAACTCAGTAAAATCTTTTAAATTATTGTGTTCATATTTTTGTTCAGTATAAATATGATGTGGCTGTCCATGGTACTGATTTGTGTATGTGCAAGTAGAAAAAACACGTTGACTCACCCTATTCTCTAATTCTATGGCAACCATGTTTGCTGACAATACCACTGTCTATTTAACAGGCAATTCTGTAGGGCAGCTAAAAGAGGCTCTTGAAGGTGACATGATAAGTATTTAATATTGGATAACCCAAAACAAATGAGTGCTAAATACAAAGAAAACCAAGGCAACGCTAATATGTACTGTAGTGCAGCAGGGATAGGGGAACAAGCTTCAGCTGAGCACTGTTCCCTTAACGAGGGTGGCAGCCCTTTAATTGACTGCTGTGGCGCAGCAGGGCCAAGTCTAGCCAGCACGAGGAACGCTGGCTAGGGGAACAAGCTGCAGCTGAGCAGGGTTCCCTTAATGAGGGTGTGGCAGCCCTCTAATTGATTGCCTAAAGACTTAAAGGTGTGCAGCCCCCCCGTGTAGCTCAGTTGGTAGAGCATGGCACTTGCATCGCCAGGGTTGTGGGTTTGATTGCCACGGGGGGCCAGTATGAAAATGTATGCGCTCACTAACAGTAAGTCGCTCTGGATAAGAGCGTCTGCTAAATTACTAAAATGTAAATGTAAAATGTAAGGTATGGCTAGGTCCGATATGATTTGCAGCGTTTAAGCTTTTGGCTAGTCTTGTCGACTTCATGCTTTTGTTTCCTAAGTTTAAAGTCTGATCGTGTAGAATTCCGGGAGAGCTGGGATTTAATTAACCTTTTGTTAATAAAATCCTCTTTGTTTGCACCATGTTCCTGTATCTTGTGCCTTTTCCTTTGTCATTGCCTATGCCCGATCCCCTAGACCAGGACTACCCAACCCTGTTTCTGGAGAGCTACCGTCGTGTAGGTTTTTGCTCCAACCCTAATCTAGCACACCTGATTCTAATAATTAGCAGGTTGATAAGATGAATCAGGTTAGTAACACCTGGGGATGGAGCAAAAACGTACAGGAGGGTAGCTCTCCAGGAACAGGGTTGGGCAACCCTGCCCTAGACATACATTTACATTTTACATTTTAGTCATTTAGCAGACGCTCTTATCCAGAGCGACTTACAGTTAGTGATTACATTTTTTTTTTTTATACTGGCCCCCCGTGGGAATCAAACCCACAACCCTGGCGTTGCAAACGCCATGCTCTATCAACTGAGCTACATCCCTGCCGGCCATTCCCTCCCCTACCCTAGACGACGCTGGGCCAATTGTGCGCCGCCCATGAGTCTCCCGGTCGCGGCCGGCTGCGACAGAGCCTGGATGAAACCCAGGCAGTGTGAAACCCCTTGCACTGTCACAGTTGTTGGAGAATACAGGCATAGCGCCCTGTTGGTTGGGTGGCGCATAGGTATTTGACTCCAGGTATTGTGACACTTGAAGTGGGGATTTGCCTAGTGCCATGAGGAAGTTAAATGGGCGTATTTGTATTTATTAAGGATCCCTATTAGCTGCTGCCAAGGCAGCAGCTACACTTACTGGGATCCAGCAACATTAAGGCAGTTATACAATTTTAAACATTACATGACACTTTACCCAATACATTTACTGTGTTCCCTCAGACAACTACTCCACTATCACATATTTACAAAACAACGTTGATGTGTATGTGTGTCTGTGCCTGTGTGTGTGTCACCTCACAGTCCCCACTGTTCCATAAGGTGTATTTTTCCGTTTTTTAAATCTGATTCCACTGTTTGCATCAGTTACCTGATGTGGAATAGAGTTCCATGTAGCCATGGCTCTATGTAGTACAGTACACCTCCCATAGTCTGTTCTTGACATGGGATTGTGAAGAGACCTTTGGTGGCATCTTGTGGGGTATGCATGGGTGTCCGAGCTGTGTGCTAGTAGTTTAA